GTGTCTGCTTACTGGTGTTGGTATCACCCATGATAGCAGCAAGTAGCACCCAAAAACACCAATGGGAAACTTGATCTATAATACATACATACACATACGTATCTGTGTTTTTACCTTTGGAAGGGGGTCTCCAAACTTCTGTGAGATATTACTTTTTACATCTTTGCAGCCTCTATTCATTCAGGTGCTAGGCATTGGGAATACCATATTGAGCAAACTAAATATGGACCCTGCTTAGGGAACTTATAGTCTAGTGGAAAAGACCAATAATTAAACTTTCAAACACATGGGCAAGTGAAGAGTGTGATGGAGCACCTGAGAGCGGCATTTAGGAAAACATGGGAAATAAAGCAAAGGGGTCTTCCAGAAGAAGGGATATCTAAATTGAGACCTCTACAGTATTAGCAGACATTAGCCAAGGGAAAGGGCCATGGTTGGTAGAGGCCAGAGCTCAGGGAGGTACAGCAGCATGGGCAAAGGCCCAGAGGCCAAGAGAATGGAACACATGCCAGGAAATGCAAGATATGGTCAGAACCTGAAGGGTATGCCATAGGAGATGGGAGAGAAGGTTTGAGGAGGTAAATAATGAAAAGAAGGCTGGAGAGATTAGGGAGAGCAGGGTGTCTGATCCCAAAGGGCTTTATAACTCTTGTTGAGGAACTTGGGCTTTATCGTCAAGACCCAGAGTAGCTTTGAAGGATTTTAAATAGGAGAGTGACATTATCAGATTTGCATTTTAGAGAAATCCCTCTGGCTGTAGTGTGGGGAACAGATTACAGACACAGCGTGGGAAGCAAATTTGGGTGGGAAAAGAGGGAGATGATGGAGAAGAATGTAGATAATGAGCTGTTTTAAACTAATTGATTTTGAAGTATCAATGGGACGTCCAAGTAGAGGTATCTAGCGGTGATTGCGAAATATGACCTGGAGCATGAGAGAAATCTAAACTGAAGATCTAGCATGGAAACAGGAATTGGACTTATGGATGAAGAAGGAAGAGACCGCCTGGGGTTGGGAGGGATGGGAGTGAAGGACATGAAGACCACTGTGAGAAACAGAGACCATGGGAAATCCCTGAGGACACAGAACACTGAAGGGACAGGCAAAGGAGGAACCTAGAAGTTTCTAGGTGACTATCTGAGGACAGTGACAGGGAAGTAGGAGAGGAAGTATCATCTTTTGAGGATTTCAGTCTTCCCTGTGAGTTCCTGCTAGCAGATGGTATCAAGTTGGAGTTCTTCCAGTAATGCTTTCAGACCCAGCATTAAATCCCCACCTATTGAAGAGGACCCTGTCCAAAAGTGGGTACATTACACAATTCAGTAGGAGAACAGTTGTAAATGCTTTCCCCTTCCAGCCATTAAAAAAAAAAAAAAAAAGTGTTGCATCTTCTCAGATGCAGAAAGCGTGCTGAGCTCTCCCAGGGAGAGGCAGAATTGTTGTCAGGAAAAATATTAGACTGTTTTGGCCCCTGCCCAGTTTGGCATTTCCCTCTCCAGATTAAGGTCACACTCATTTGTAGTAAAAATGTTTTATTTCAGATCTTTCCCTTAATATACAGTCATGAAATTTTGTAACTTCCCAGACTAAATTTTCCATAAACCCACTCCTTGTTTCTGCTACTTCATTTTCAGAGCTATTTTACACATGTGATAAATGGTGTGAGTAAAAAATGATTGATGTGATCAGCAGTATGTCAGAAACCAGGTCCTCTTTTACAGTCCCAAAAGACACAAACTGAGAAAACAGAAAAATAAACATCTATGCTGAGAAGTCTTGAGGAGTTTTGAGGTCTGACAGATCTTAGTTTAAAACCAGTGTGCCACCAGTCACTATCTGTATGACTTTGGATATGTTCTCTAACTTAGTTTCCTCCCTTAAAATGGGGATAATAATATACCTACCTTGTTATCAAAGACTTCTCTAAGCACTTTACCTCGATTAACTCATTTAATCCTCCAAAGAGATGTCTACTATTAAGGCACAGAGAGATTAGGTAATTTTTGTTAGGTTAGACTGCTAATCAGAGGTACAGCCAGAATTTGAACTCATTAGTCCAGAGAAGAGCTCTTAAACATTCTACTGTATTATTTCTCTAAATATATGTAGACCATCTAATGTAGTATCTGATAAATAGTGGGTGCAGTGCTTGATAATTGGTACTGATTAGTAATAATAATAAACAGAGCTTTTAATTTTGACGGGAAAGACAAGTTCCATGGTACTCTTTCATCCAACTCTGATTCAGATTAGTGTCTAAAAATACTTGAGTTTATAAAGGTCCTTTCACTATGTATGAGAAGAAATACTGTGGTTTGCAATAATCTAGCAATGGATCAAAGCAAAAAGAAGTACAAAATACAGATTTCTCCTGGAACAAAATTATAATGAGCAAGTATTCCTCTGCGTTAAAAGCATTTCTTTCTCTTATCTCTGGGGAGGGAGGCTAACATAATGAAGAAACCTTACAGACACTGACTGGAGTGGGACAAGATGCTGATGCCAACATGCAGTGAAGCATATTTCCTCTGTAAGTTCTGGCCATCAAAGCAAACGCAAAAGCCATTAGGTCAAAGTCATTGGATGCTTTGGAAAAGCATCCGACTGTCAGATGCTTTTCCAAAAAATAATGCACTGCTTTCACAAGGGAGACATTCAGGGATGGACTTCAAGTGTGTGGGGCCTTTTTGGAGACAGTGAATGGTGGTGGACAGACCTACTTCTGCAACTCAGAACAACTCCTATATCAAAGAATCTATCTAGTCCTTATGCCTAAATTCCATTGCTTAGCACTTAAAGGCTTTTAAGTATTCACAACACCAACATAAAACCCTCAGAAAGGAACAAAAATACAACCAGGAGCTTCTATTGATTACCTCCTCTGCAGAGATTAGTTGATAAGTAAAATAAGGTCTTTAAAAACTAACAAAGTGCTAGGTACCTAAGACATGTGGAGGACCAAAAGAAAGTTCATGGAAGAGAGATTAATAATGCCAAAGAGGAAACCAAAGTTTGGCCCCTGTGATGTTATCAAGGACTAAATGAAACAATTAGCTCACTGCTGGTCTCAGTTTCTATTAAGTTCAAAATCGGACAAGGGTGGAGTACTCCTCATCATTGCATAGGTTTAAATTTGCAAGTAAAGCTGGGGGGGAAAATAAATTTGCCAAGTTAGTCTTTTGGAGGAGTTTCCTGCCTCCTAGGTTCTTTCTAGAATTCAGATAGTGCACTAGGTAAATGGCAGTATCAGAATACAATTTGGCAGGATAACTGAGTCTGTCCCAAAGACACATACTTCAACTCATTGACATTTGAGGTGTCAGCAGTTATTAACAAAATCAGACAATAGTACTGGAATTCTATTTACTTAAGAATAGAGAGAATAGTAATCTCTCTGAGCTTCCTTTTTTGGGGGCGTGAGGTCTGTAAAATGAGGATAGCATCTACTGTAAAAAAGGACGTGAGACTTAAACGAGGTAAAGTGTGAAGAGCCTGGCACACAGCAGGCACTCTATCTATCCCTGCCCGTGCATGCTTAGTTGCTGAAGCCCTGGTGGGCAATGATTGCCACCTCATCAGCACAGAAAGCTCCTCCGCTGAAGCAAGTGACAGTGCCAAAATGCTCTGCAATGGCGGGTTTTATTTGGCTTTGTTAGAAGCTACTTGCGCGAAAGCTTATTCCTGCCTACATATTTTCCAATGTTCACAAAGTATTCACCACTGCTTATCATAAATCTGATTCTAGTGAGTTAATAAGTCATTCTGAGCCTCATCCTTAGATAGAGAAGCCTTCCAACCATATATAAATAAAACTTGTTCTGAGGCACTATGGGGTTGGCCTCCAGCAATTCAGAAATAAACAATGAAGCTGCTCATGACAATATAAATTTGCCTTCTCAGCAGTATATTTTCTCTCTAATCTCCTTCTTTGCACACGAAAAATCTTCTGCTCCATCTGGCTTTTCTCTTGTGCCCAGAAACACATAACTCAGTCTGCAAAGATAGAACCTATAACCATATCTTTTTTTTTCCACACCACCTGACTTTTTAGGCTAATTTCCAAAATTTTGAAGCCAGCAAATAATCTTTTTGTAAAGACTATTTGTATACTATTTCTTGATCTATTAAACAGAAAAATTAAGATTAGAACTTTAAAACCTGTATATACTGGTTTTTCCTAAAAAATGTGCCACATAGTTTATTATCATGTGCCTGATAATAAACTATGTGGCATATTTTCTCCATAGAGAAAGCAACCACCATAATTTTGTATGATCAAAGGGGAGGAAATGGCATTTTAAAAGGCAGGGTCTTAGGAACTCAAGTTACTTAAGCCACATGGGAGTCAGATAATCAAACAATGTGCTTATTTCATATACTGTGGTACTCTTTCTGTATGAAGTCTATTTGGCACGTAGACGGCACATGTAATTACACTCAACCATTCATAGATGCTGTTTTCCATTACAATATTCCCCTGAGTGTAGGTTTACTTTCCTTTTTAGAGTCTTAATACCTACAACTGATTAACTACTTTTTTTTTTTTTTTACAGTGGAGGCCTCTTTGGAAAGGAGTTCTCCCTTAGGTTTGTAAGCACAAGAGGGGCCCCCTTTTTAGTGGAAACCAGAGTTGCTGCTTCACAGGTGCTGCACCAAGCAGTTTCAGTATTTTGCTCCAGCTCATTTTGGATCTAGAAAACCTTGGTGACCTTAGAATAACAGAATGCTGCCATTAGAAATCTAGCTCAAGGCCCTGACTTTACATATTTATATAAAAATTAAAGGCCAAAACATAAGACTTATCCACTTACATACCCATTAAATATTGAAACCCAGATTGAAACACACTACTTAGGTTTTGTGAGTATAATTTAATGCAGTTCTTTTAAAGAGAATGAGAGTGAAGTACTTGATCAACTATATGGTGACACTGTGCTGCAAGCAGCATGTTAAGTGAGAATACTTCAGATACTGTTACAGAAATAAACAGCCACATATTCTTAAGAGTCAAATACTTATGACATTTTATTTTCACAGTAACCATTTTGATAACTCATCATCTTTATCTGATGACCCCTTTTTGGGCAACAATTAAGATGATAATCCCCAATTTCAGTGATCTAGTGAAATCCAACTTCAAAGGAATGTGTATCCATTTTAACAATATACACAGTGAGCAATGCCCTCATTTTCTATGCTGCCATACCAAATTGCCACAAACTTAGTGGCTTAAGAACAATGTAAATTTATTATCTTACAGCTCTGTATAAGTCAGATGTCCAACACAGGTCTCAGCAGGTTACAGTCAAGGTGCCAGTGGGGCTACATTCCTTTCTGGGAACTCCACTGGAAAAAAAGTTGCCTTGCTTTTTCCAGTTTCTAGAGCCTGCCTTTATTCCACGGCTGGAACCACCTTCCTCCAACTTCAAAGTCAGCAATGTCGAACCTCTGACCTTCCACTGTCACTCTCAGAAAGGGTCTCCACATTTAAGTACTTCTGTGATTAAATTGGGTCGATTCAAATAATCCAGGATAATTTCTCCATGTCAAGGTCACACTTGCATAGCCCCTTAGCCACATATTCACAAGTTCTGGTAATTAGGGCATGACAAGTTTGGGGAACCATTATTCTGCCTCCCATATAAGCAGAAATAGCAAGATAAACATTTTTTTAGTGCCCATCTTCTCTTCAGAAAAATTAATAATTTATATATGTTTTTATAATAGGTACTATATACAGGGGAAGTATGTAGCCCAAATGAACTTTTGTACTGATTCAAACTCAGGAGAGATGATGACATGCAAATTATTTCAATACTCCGGTGATGTACTATGAACCCAACCCCTTTTCCAAGGGATACTCCAATTTTAATTATCTGTCTCCTGGCATCATATCCCTTCACTAAAACAAATAGGTATTTTCAATTCTAAATTGAAAATAAAAGAAAAAAGGATTTCAAATGTTTCATAACAGCTCTTTGTTAAAGAGATCCTATTCTTAAATTCCCTCAAAACATTCTGAGGTCTAAAGATAATTTAGCATTTATTTTAAAAAATTATAGTTGTATAGGATATTTTTTAGGTACATTAGAATTTAAAACCCTGCTATTCAAAAAGTTCCCATTTTAGTCAGCCCAAAAGAGGAAAAACCCATTATTATATAGCAAAGGGACAGCTAGACACCTTGAGTGGATTTTCAGTGCAATAGATCTTAAGTGACTCTATTTTCAAAACCAAAAATAAGGTATATACTCTAAATAAGGGAATTTTCTGACTTTTTATCTTCTCTGTATAAAAAGTCTTTAAAAATACAGATATGGGAAGAAAATCCTGTACTTTTATCTTTCTAATGTAAAAAACAAAACAAAACAAAAAAACCTCTCCTGCAAATTGACGGTCAGTTTATAACCAGCAGCTGAGTCTACACACAGGCGTCCGAGAAGCTTTCTATCCATCCATTAGCAACTAAAGTGAAAAAAAGGAAGACCTGTAAAGAGATAAGGGTCAACTATGCCAAAACAAAGTTCCACATTTTTTAAAGTGTGCAAAAACTGAAATAGATCTGCAAGTCCCTCTGATTCATACATAAAATATACTTCATTTTTGTGTTCCTATAAAATATCCCCAAAACAAGTATCAAGCTTTTCTATGAAGCAACCAAACATGTATCTTTTCATATTCATATATTACACATCAGTAAATATTTACCCAATGTTTCAGAGTAGGTTTTTTTTTTTTTAATGTTAGTTTAGGTAACCATATCTTTTAATTCCCTTAATGGAGAACCCGAGAATTTCTGTCCAATGCTGTTCTGTGTAGATTCCCAAATTAAAGGAAGTTTCATTTCAAACTGAAAAAAGAGCACGGCATTTTAAACTAAGGCGTTTTTTTTTTTTTATCCTGACCAGAAATTAATGAAAGGGACATTTTAGAGATAGGACAAGTGATCCCAAACAAGTAGATTGTGTTCTAAAAGTTTACTCATAAGCTGAAATATACGTTTCCCACAGAAAATGATTATCAGATGTCTAGCTGGACTATAAATATCTAATTAATTAATAAGAGCCAAAAGGTAGATAAAAATTAGCAAAAATGCACTATAATTCTCAAATAAGGAAATACCTAAGATGAATGCTAAATATTGACACTTCTGGAAATAACTTCTAATGTAATTTCTCTAAACTTACATATAAAATGAAGGGAACTTTTGGCTACTTTAAAGTTCCTAGAATCTGATAACACCGATTCCATTTCATGTTTTTCTTTGCTTTAAGCATAGTGTTTAGCACTATTTTCCTTTACTTACTAAGATTAAATGACAATGTTCAAAACATTTAGCAAAGGTCTGGCATTAAGTAAGCTCTGTAAAACTCATACATTTATGATTGGAGCCTCACAGTAACTGGGCAGTAGTCTTAAGAGAACAAAGAAAAGACAGGATGTGTGTACATCCATGCAAAAAGAATTACCTGAGATGATATTAACTATCATGTTTTCGAACTTTCCTTTCTAGAAAACCTGGGTCTGAGGTTCTCAGAGGCCAGAACTAGGCAACTTAGTCAAAAGGTCACTCCCTGGCTACAGGCCTGGAGCAAAGACTAAACAAGTCCACACTGCAGGAGAAAGTAACCTTGTGAAGTAAGTGACACCCCAGAAAGCAGATGGAAAACAAGAACTGACTCATAAGCATTGAAGCAGATAGATCCAGGCCATTCTGGGGTAAAGGCTAAAGTGCTTTCCAGAGGAAGGAGGAGGTCACGGGCACCAGAGAGGCACAGGCAACCTTTTGCAGCTCATCTCTGGCTAAGTCTGTGGGACAGGCTGTCAAAAGCACTGATTCAGTTGGACAGTTGTGAAGATAAGGAAGAAATGGGCAGAGAATGGCAAGTGCTTGATTCTTTTAAAGAAAAAAGTAAAGGGAATAATCATTATTGGATTAATCCAGTGGTTCACCAACCTGAATCAACATTAGAATCTCTTAGGCATGCCTTTATCATGCAGAGTCCTAGGCCCTTATCCTTAAAGATTCTGATTGCATAGGTCTGAATGAGGATAATATTCAGCCAAATTTGGGAATTCACCAAATTATAGTTAGTTCAATAGATTAACCTTTGGAGCAAAATTTAATTACAGAATATTATCAATTTATATTATCTCACAAAATAACACCATAAAGCTGATTTAGAAAAACTGCATACATAAATTGTACAACCACACATTTTCATACAACAAATAGTATATGTAAATATCTGAAAATATTTTTTAAAACCACAAATCCAAAGTAAGCAACATACAGTTGTTTCAGATATATAAAAGGCTTTTTGGAAAAACTAAAATACGTAACGTGCTTTCAAGTTTTAAAATTTGAAACTTAGAAATTATATCTGATATTAATACTATAAAGAAAATAAGACACTATGTTTTTTCTTATTTCAGAAAGTTCAAGTCTTTTCGTCATAATTGAAGAAACTGCATGATCAATTAAACACTGTTGTCATTATTTTCCAAAATTTTCCATTACTTTTTTTAATGCAGCCATACACCTGAGTGTTTTGAATTATACAAACATATCCATTAGCAGTCTAAACTCACCAACATTTACATTATACTTCTTCAACAGAATCTGAAATGAACCACTAGTAAAATAGGCTGTAAGATTATTTAGATGTTATGATGAGTTGGTCTGCTGAACTCCAGAGTTCATAGAAGAAATTACATCTTTCAATTTATTTTTTAAGAAGTAAAATTCTGCACTGTGCTAATCTGCTTTTGCATATTATTTGGAAAATGGCTATAAAGGCTTTATTATAAAGGGGTACAAAAAACATCTTATTATGCACAATGCAAGATGGAGAAAAGAATGGTTTACAAATTACTGATGAACACCTAAGGGAATCATGTTTTTTCCTTTCATTATGGGCTTCTCAAAATCAAACATATTTTTCAAATTAAAGTTATATTACGAGTTTTTGAAAAATTAAACCCCTAGCTTAAGAACTTAAATGTCTTTAGATTTGAAATAGGAATGGATGATTATAACTACGTTTTTTTAAAATGTTGCTTTGGGGAACAGTCTTGATTCATTGATTCTTTCTAATAACTTTCTCTTTGCTTGCTTACTATAAAATAACATACTGTTACTGTGAGGACAATTTCTGATTCAATTCCAATGCTCTTGTATCTCCATGAATTTTGGCATTGTTTACCAGCACCTAGGGGAAATCACATATAGGAACATTAGTATTCTGTTTATTAACGGTAACCATATTTAAATTCATAGAAGCCAAGTATGCCAAAAGGCAGCAAGCAATATCAAACAACACAAGAAAAAGTGACTACATGCAATCTTTTCAGTCATTTTTGCTGAAATAAATTGTTTAGCCAAAGCCAACATCAAAGATAAGCACAATTTATTCAAATGCTCAATTAGTTTACATGCAACATTTTGACTGTTACCCTTTGTCAGCACTGTATAAAATTAAAGTGGTGGTTTTGTTTATAATACTGTCATCTCTAAACCCTTACCCGGAAGACCACTTTATACACAGAACTGTGCAAGTGATACTCCTCTATTTTTTTTTAAAGATTTTTATTTATTTGTTTGAGAAAGAGAGTGAGTGGGGGAGAGAAAGAAAACACGAGCGAGGGGTTGGGGGGCAGGAAGGAGGCCGACTCTCAGTTGAGCAGGGAGCCAGATGCGGGGCTCCATCCCAGAACTCCAGGATCATGACCTGAGCTGAAGGCAGACACTTAACCGACTTAGCCACCCAGGTGCCCCGATATTTCTCTCCTTTAAAACCATAGCTTAGAACTGAGGTTCTAGATTCGAGGCTCTATCAAGAAGCTTTGCAAGGTTTTCACCAATTCCACAAACCATAAGATTTCATTTCGGTTGCTCATTCGACTACTAAAACTTTTTGGTTGTTCATTTTCGAACACCGTGAAGGGTCTGAGATTTTGCTCTACTTGCAAGCCAACAAGTTAGCCTGCACAGTTTCACGGATACTGCCAAAAGACACGGTTCTCCTGGGTCAGAGACAAAGGTCTTTACCACTCATGGTACAACAAACTGCGTGAGGATCAAGACATTTACATTTATTCCCCTTGGCCCCTAAGACTCACACAGGTGACCCAGATGGAAGTATATAGATCCCCACATCCATACTGGTTTGCATTACAAGAGAGGAACCCTGAGCCCAGGAGACCTGAATCCTTTATAATGGGCCTACCCTTTACTCTGGAGGGAGACACTTACGTCTGTCTCCCAAGGCTCACTATAAAAACATCCTTGAAAAGACAGTCTGGAACAAAGAGCAGTCAGGTCATCTGCTTACAGGATGCTGAGAAATGCAAGAAAAGCATGGAAAACCGTCTCCAACATTCACACAAGTTCTATATTTTTGGTTTGCAATATGTTAATTAGAATGCCTTTCTCCAAGCATTGTTTTTGTTAATATTTCTTTAACACTGTGTTTCACGGAAAGGCAAACAGTATTTCAAGTGCTTCAGATATTTAAAAAGCTTCTCATTAATATTCATTGTATTTTATAAATTATAAGCTCAAGTTATGAGAATCTTAAACCTATATGTGTTTTATATAGTCTACCTTTTTAAAAAGAATTTTAGATACACATACATATATATTTATATATTTCAATACCAGAGCTATCCCATGAGGAGTAGAAACTGTCACATGCATCTCATAGAAAAGACAAGTAAAACAGTATTTCTAAATTTAGTATCAAGATCCCATTAAATCCTGCTACTTCCAAACCTATCCTATATATTTGCTTCCAGTGCAATGGTCATAAAAAATACCATCCCAGCACCTAGTTCCTTTGTCTAACTTTCTTATTCTACATAGCACATCAGGAGAATGTATTTCCTACAGGTAAAATCAGTGGTTCTCAACGAGGGGCAATTACGGGTATCATCTGGCATGTCTGAAGCCATCTGTGGTTGTCACAAGTTGTGCAGAGGGAAGAGGACAGTGCCACTGGCACCCAGTGTTTAGGGTGGCTAGGAGTGCTGCTAGATACTCGACAATACACAGGACCCCTCCTCCAACAAAGATCCAAAATGAAATATTATGAATAAAATCAAGGCCTTACATCAATAAGCTCGTAGTCATTTTTGGCATGTAAGTGTCTCAGTAGATACCAACGTGCAGTTGATACAATAGACTTGGGATACCCAGGCTGATACACCACTCTTTCCAAAAGTCGCCGCGTCTCTCTGAAAAAGATACTTATATTTAGTCCACAGCATCTAAATTAACATAAGATATCTCATATACTAGTCTCACACACGTTATCTTTCTCATTCTTTTGCACACGTGGTACTGATTCCTTCATGAATTTTTTTTCATAGAATAAAGGTAATAATAATGGCTAATATCTATTAAGTGTTTATTATGTGTTGGGTACGACACTAAGTATTTTACACATATGGTCACATTGAACATTCACTACCTTGTAAGGTTAGCTTGCTATTACTATTCTCATTTTGCAAATAAGTAAATTAAGGCTCATTCCAAATTGAAGAGGGGAAAGGCTCCTATTTTACGAGCACTTCCGAGTGCTCTACCTCTAATCCTTTTTGAAAACAGACTGAAAACAAATCCATAAACAATACAAAAATAATCTACACCAGAGTCAAAGTGTGTATCAGGCTTTTTAGTATATGCTTTAACAGACAAGTACAATATGTAAATCCATGTAATAAAAGGCTGATTTACAATTGTGTTCTAATCTTTCTTTCCTTATTTACTAACACCTATGACTCCAGAAACTTCCGTACTAATAGACACAACACAAATTGTGGTAACTTCAGAAATGCTGAATAGGAGGATCTTATAAATAGCAATTGGTTCGAAGCAGAAACTAAAGAACTTGTCTTGAAGATATATCTACATATGAATCACACAGTAAGCACACTGTTTTTTTCTTTGCGTTTATGTTGATTTGGGCTGATTTTTGGTGGTGATAAAAATTATGGGAGGTGCTAACCGATTACAAGGAGGTAGAGGTTAAGGCCCTTTAAGTCACCCACACTGAGCTTCAGCAGAAAGAGTTCATTAGGAAGTATAAATAAATTATAGCCTAAAACATTTCTGAGTGAAATCAGTCATACAAAAAACTGGCTAAAAGTAAATAAATACTAAATGGTTCTGGAACTGCTGATTAGCCATAGCCTTAATTCTTCCTTCACTCCTATTTTGGGATGCTGATGTGATCCCTGCCACATATTTATATGTTTTAAGCTCTATGTCTACAATATCTATCGTGTTGCAGTAACATAATGCTCCTAAACCACGGTTTTACCTACAGTTGCTCTGTATTATGTGTAATAACCATTAAAGCTACATATTATTCTCAGAATTTTAAAATATTCTTGCTTGTTTTTTCATCCATATGATCTTTAAGTAATTTTTTTCAAATTTATTTCTGACCCCATCCTCACCTTTCAATAAAAAGATCACTAAAATTTGTATATTGTAATCTCAGAAACTTTGAGTTTTTCTAGATATAAAAACCTCATTATTTATAAACATAATTCTGTCTTTTCAATATTCATTACTTTTTTTTCATAGCTCAGTACCTTGCATGAACTTAAGTCAATCTAGCCTTGAACTTCAGTATTTTTATTTTGTTTCTAGAATCCACATTACACTGTTGGTATATCTGAAGACAGCAAAACTCCAAGCCCTTCTTCACTTGAAATGCTGTCATGCCCAATCTCTCATATTCTATATCTGTGTACCAAATTATTTTTTGTAAAATAAATATAAGACTTTGCTTTCTTCCTTACTTGGTTACTTCAACAGCCTTTCCAAAGTAGTAACAGATATATGAATAACACCAAGTTTGTTACACTAACTCTAAATCTTTGTTTCCTTGAGGGACTGAAAGTGAAGAAACATTTCCAAGAAAAAAAGGGAACAAGAATTCTTCATACCTTGCCCCCATTTTGCGGTTGAACTGTAACAAAGCTTGTAAAAAGACAGCCAATGGACAAAAGCAAAGTTTCAAGGCCTCAGTTGTAGCTTCCTGAACCAAAGATGACCAGTGATCATTGGAAATATTAGCCTGTAAAAATATAAGACATATAGTAAATCGAGGCTTTCAACATGTTTACCCTAAAAAAATGAAATTCAACACTCATTTATTAAGTGCCTACTTGTCCAAGTCACCATGTAAATGCTACAGGGGCCATGATTCTACAAAATGATTACGATCTGATTTCTGCCCTTAAAGAGCTACAGAACAGGGTAGACTGGAAAAAAGGAAGGTTTCAAACAGGAATATTACTTAAAAAACACTAAAATATTTCTTAAAAGAAAATGCACTATTCTACTATATAGGTGAATAAAATCTATCAGTCACTAAGCCTCTGGGATCTAACAAATATAAAAAACTCAATCTAACATGACTCTAATTGGTAGTGATAAAGTCCCACATTTCAAAAATTATCTAAGGAGAGAGAGAAGGCTGAAATTAAATATTTTAATAAAATCCCAAAATAGAAAAAAGGTACAAAGCAGATCACAGATAAATCAAACTCATCAATACTGAGAACTTTTTAAAGAATTTCACTTTATAAGGAAAATGTTAAGGTATCTACACATCACTTATGTTGCAAACTTTAGTTTCTTACATGTACTGACTCAGAAATAACAGATAAGTGTGTTCCTAAGGAACAATAACATGAAGATAAAATGGTGAACAGTCTGCTGAATTACGTTAGAAGAAAAAATGCACTTAAAATCTTTCATTAAAAACCTCAAACGTTCATTAAAAACTAAGATTTCATATGTACAGGTATCTAGAGTACACATTTTAATAAAGTCAATAGGATGAGTCCATTTCAAACATGAAATTATAAAAAAAAGTTAGAGCAATAAACAGTGCAGTACAGGCAATAATTATTATGCATGTAATTAAGAAAAAGGAAGCTATAAAGATAATAAATTTGAAAATAAATTGTAAAGCATCTTCTATAAAGATGGAAGCAATGAGATCTTGGGTACATTTGACAAAGAAAATAAGGCAAAGCCCAAAAGTAATACGACTACTCCTAATACATTTTTATTTTTTATATTATTTTTTTAAAGATTTTATTTATTTATTTATTTTAGAGTGGGGGTAGGTGGGAGCAGAGGGAGAGGGAGGGGAAAAGAATGTTAAGCAGACTCTGCGCTAAGCATGGAGGCCAACACAGGGTTCCATCTCATGATACTGAGATCATGACTCCAACACTCAACCGACTGAGTCACCCAGGCGCTTCATTCCTAATAATATTTTTAAAAACCAAGAACACAAACCCTCACTGGTTGCTTTTATAATGTATTCTCATATAAAATATTCTATAAAGTTAGCTCAGATTACTATATAAGGAAAAAGTTTCTATATGTACTTGGTATATTAAAAACAGAATGCAAATTTTTGTCTCCCACTGTGTCTTTAAAATTTGTTATATGAGGAAGCACTTTATCTCTGTCCCTGGGTATATATTACAGTAGGCTCTGTGATTCTGATACCTACTTTTCTTAGAGTCATCACAAACAATCTTAATTAGAATATCTTCTTCCTTTCAATACTTCAATCTTCATTCAAAGGTAGTATTTGCACCCTGTCCCACTACAGTTCCCAGACAGGGTATGGTTACAGATAGCAGCAAAGGGTTTGCTCCTCGTCCCAACACTCACCTTTTCTTGTCAATTGTAGTTTCAGACAGCTACTGAAATGCCGGAAGTCTGTATTTGACTGGTGCTACTGTACGATGATGCCTTGCTCTCTAGGCCTGATAGATATTTCAATCTCTTTTTCTCATCCAGGCTTTCCTGGCTTTATCAGAGACTCCCAATTTCATGGATAGTCTCTTATCTGCAGGACTAGCTATGTAATCTGTGGAGCCCAATGCAAAATAAAAATGCATGGCCCTTTGTTCAAAAATAGTTAAGAATTTCAAGATGGTGACTGGAGAGCATTAGACCAAGTGTGGAGCCCTGGGCAACTGCATAGAATGCATGCCTGTGAAGCAGTCCTGTTCATCTGCAGCTCCACTAACCTGGACAAATATACTCTATTTCACTTACTCTCCACATCCTCTAAGCAATCTGCAAACCTCTAGTTGCCTTTCTGCCGAGATCCCATCACTCCTCTAGGAGGCCCTACTGGATAGGTTCTAAGATAAGTCCTATGCCAACTCATTTTCACACTGGCACCACTCACTCGTTCCAACAAACTCCAGGAGTGCTGTCAAACCCAGGTCACAGTCTCCTTCACTCCCTCCATCTTGTACCCAACCATGTACTCCTACCCACCTTTGGGATTCACCTACTGCAGACCACTCTCTGCCAGAGCATGTGCTCATTTTCCAAAACACTCTCTTTTCCTCTGTCCTAACACAGCAGGTGGAGAGCCACAAGCTCCTGAGGTTATGTCAGATACCTGTCCATATGCCTCCAGGACCTCAGAGGCCACACATCAAAACCTCCCTTTCTCTGAGAGAATTCAGATAGGTTCTTTTATTATTATTATTTTTTAAAAATTAATTAGTTAATTAATTTATTCACTCTTCAGCTGTTTATCCCATAATCAGCTACCTTGGAGGATGAAACCCAATTGTGTACAGACTGAAAGCAAAAAATATACACTTTCTCCCTTCCTCACCTTTGTGGGCATCGGTGGGTGGAAATGTGCCACAGAGATGGGGGGGAAACAGAATAGCTCTACCCCCAAAAATTTCTTCATAATCCTTCTCCAACTTCTAATCCTTTTATAGCTCCCTTATAGGTTAGGCTTCTACTCACTTTGGAAGTCTGTAACTTGATCTTATATCTCATTTTGGAATCTGTTATCTCTGAAATCTAGTATTTAGTATCTTAGCTGAAACTCTCAGTTTAATATCCTATTCATATATTATAACACATACAGGAGCCTCTCATAAAAGTGTAATTTTACAATCCTCATCCACTGTACACTGCCAGGTGTTTACCATAGAAACATGCATCTCATATTCTTTTACAACAACTGCTGGGTGTCAAATAGTACAGTAAGAATAATTAGACTCGAGCAGTGTTTTAAAGTTTACAAAGGCTTTTGGAAATGTTATTTCATTTGATATTTAGCCCTATAAGAAGGCAAAGTAGTATTATTATCTCTACTCTTACAAGGAAAAAGAAAGGCTCTAAACAGCTAAAGTTTTCACAGGTAGTAAATGGTATAACCAGAACCAAAGCCATTAGAGAAAATAATTTTTGTGGCTGTAGTGGGTGGTGGGAGAAGATGGGGTATATATGGGTATTACTAAACTGCAAGCTAATTTCCTCAACTGTAAAATAGGATTACCGTGAATATGAAATAAGTTAATATGTATCACACACACATACACTCAAATACAGTATCATATACGCTGTTCAGCAGTTTGCCCCCCAAAGCACACACACGTAAACATTTATCTTAAAGAGTTTTCCATACTAGTACCAAAGATTTCTAGATTAATATACCTAATTTTGTATCAAAAATCAGATGTCAAATCAAAAATTACCAGAAGTCCTTCTTACAGAATGTCAAATTTAACTGAGAAATGACTGAAATGTTAAATTACTGGCACCTTTGTCACAGATGAGTACCTGGGTTAATTCTAATTTATCAACAGGAAACAAATATGTATATTCTGCCATAATTCAACTTTTAAATTGCAATCTTTGGATTGGAATTTAATTGGAATTAATTGGAATCTATGGATTTACATGACTCTTATTTCCACCAAAAGCCCAAATACAAAGTCTATGAGAAGGCCACATGAGAAGGTGATGAAACAACAGGAACTCAACAGAAAGCACTATCATCTTAAAGAAAAATAAAAGAATCAGTTTTTCATGATCATAATTATAATATGATCTTACCATGCAGGCTTTTAAAGCAAGTAGAGCTAGTCTCAAGAGACTCGACAGCTTCCCACTCCAAATGCCCTGTTGGGATGCTACTTGTAGACTCTTTCTATAACACATCTCTGCAGCACCCATCATTCCTTGGGACTGATAGATGTGTGCCAGCCACTGAGGAGCAGAAAGAGAACAGAACCAAAAAATTTTTAATTTAGTACATAGTCTGGTACAAACCAATAAATTCAATACACTTTGATGAAGTTAAATTTTTAATTTAATTTTTGGTAAGTTTTATGCCCCCAAAAATCCAAAAATCATAGGTTAAGAAAGGAGTAGACATCTTGCCCATTCTATCAGCAATAGCTTACTAGCCACACCATTTGAAAGTGTTAAAGAGTCTTCCATGATGGTAAGTCAGGAACAAAATCAAAATGGAATGTAAAAACAGATATATCATGTAAATACTGATCAAAAAGAAGTTTGTACAGCTGTATCAACCTCCAACAAAGTATATCTTAAGACAAGAAATATTAAGAGATAAAGGGGTCTGTTTCATAATGAATAAGAATCAATTAATTGGAAGAGATAACACTCCTACATTTGTATTCACCTAATAAAGACACAGAATTTATGAAGCAAAAGTTGACAGAAATGAAAGGAAAAAAAAACACTGAAATGCAGAATCAAAGTTGGAGATTTTAATACACCTATTTCAGCAACGGTAAAAGAAACAGACAAAAAATTCAATACAGATATAGAAGATTTAAACATAATCAGCTTGACTTAAATGATATATTTGGAAGACTATACTCAGCAACTATAGAATACACATTCAGTGAAAATGTGTATTTTCTAAATCTGACCATATGCTGGGTCACATTTCAAAGAACTGAAATTATACAGTCTACTCTGATTAAGTGAAATTAAACTAAAAATCAGTAAGAGACAACTGAAAAAAAAATCATCCTCTCCCATATTAGAAATTTTACAACATGCTTCAGAAAAAAACATGGATCAGGGCGCCTGGGTGGCTCAGTTGGTTAAGTGTCCAACTCTTGATTTCAGCTCAGATCATGATCTCAGGGTTGTGCTAAAGATTCTCTCTCTCCCTCTCCCCGCATTCCATTTGCTCTCACTCCTGCATGCACTCTCTCTCTCTTTCTTAAAACAACAAAAAAAACACCCCTCCCCCCAAAATGAAAAAACAAACAAAAAAGACCCACATGGATCAAAGAAGAAATTCCAATGGAAATCAGAAAACATTTTCAAATGAATGATAATGAAAGCACTACACAAAATCTTGGGGAATACATATACTGGAGAAAGATGGAAAATCTATGCTGTAAGTTTCTATCTCAAGAAGCTAGGGGAAAAAAAAAATCTAAAACCAAAGAAAGCAAAAATAACATAGAAAGAAGTCAATAACATGTAAAGAAACTATAATGAAGAAAATCAAAACAAAAAGTTGGTTCTTTGAAAAGTTAATAAAACTGATTATCAAGAAAAAAATTTAGAAAACACAAATTACCAATATAAGAATGAAAAAGGAAAAAAGCATTACAGATTTTCCAAACATTACAAAGAAGGTATCATGAACAACTTTATGCCGATAAATCTGAAACTGAGATGTGCTGGACAAATTCTCTGTAATTCAACAATGCTAAAGAAAGAGGAAATCTTAAAAAAAAACTTTCCCATAAAGAAAATTCTTGGCCCAAATAGCTTCAATGGTGAATTCTTCTAAACATTAAAGAAATAAATGTCAGTCTCACACAAACTCTTTCAGAAAATAAAGAAAAGGAGAATTAACATAGATAACAAAACCTAACATAGACCTTATGAGAATGAAAAATTACAAGCCTTTCTCTCTCATGAATATAGGTATTAAAAATTCTTTAAACAGTCATTAGCCAAGTGACTCCAGCAAGATATATAAAAGGAAAAATACATCATAACCAAGTAGGATTTCTTCTAGAATGCAAGGTTAATGTAGCATTTGAAAATCAATGCAGTACACTGCATTAACAGAAAAGAGCCATTCTAATAGATGTCCCCCCAAAAGATCTGTTAAAACTCAACATCCATTCATGATAGAAAACAAATCTCTTTTACCAATTTAGAATAGAAGAAAACTTCCTTAATCTGATATATATATATATATCAGATAAAACCTATAGCAAAAATCATATTAATTATGAAATAGTAAATGCTTTCTATGTTAGGTTGAGAATAAGAACGTTCACTTATCTAACCACCACTTCTATTTAACACTGTATTCAAGGTTCTAAACAGTGCAATATGGCAAAAAAAAAAAAGTCAATATACAAATATTGGAAAGAAAACGTAAAACTTTATTATTCACAAATTATATAATTGTGTATACAGAAAACCTAAAATCATTTCAAAAAAATAAGTGAATTCAGCAAGGTTGTTGCAGGTCAACATATAAATATCAACTGCATTTCTAAGCATTTGGAGCAAGCATACAAGAAAAAAATACCATTTGTAATCAAACAAAAAATATCAACTACCTACTAAAAATTTAACATAAAAATGTAAAAGGCCTCTACAATGAAAATTGTAAAACATCACTGAGAGAAATTTAGAACCCAAATAATTTGAGGAAAATACCACATTTGTGGATAGAGAAATTCAGTAGTATTACTTTATCAATCCTCCCCAAATTAAACTACAGATTCATGCAATTCCAATCAAGATCCTAGCAGGGCTTTTGTTTGTGGGGGAAGGAAGCAGGGTAGTTGACAATCATATATAATTGCAAAAAGCCTAAAATGACTTTAGGACACGTGAAAGAGAACAAAAAAAGTCAGAGGTCTTAATATTACCACCACACATAAAAACTAATTATAAGGCCATAAACAAGAATAAACAAATAGATAATAGAAAAGAAGAGGGAGCCCTATTAAGACCTACAGATACAGTCACCTGATTTCTGACAAAAGCATCACTACAGTTCAGTGGGGACAGAATGGTCTTTTCAAGGAATGATGCTGGAACAATGTGATACACATAAGAAAGGAATGAACCTGGATCCTGCAACATTAACAAAAATTAACCCTGGATGAATCATATCCTAACATGTGAAAGGTAAAACAAAAAAAAATTTTTTTTTAAAGATGTTATTTATTTGATAGAGAGAGACACAGAGAGAGAGGGAATACAAGCAGGGAGAGTGTGAAATGGAGAAGCAGGCTTCCCACTGAGCAGGGAGCCCAATGTGGGGCTCGATCCCAGGACCCTGAGATCGTGACCTGAGCCGAAGGCAGACGCTTAATGACTGAGCCACTCAGGTGCCCCAAAACAAAAATTTCTAGAGGAAAACAGAAAAATATCTTTAGGCGCTTAAAGTAAGCAAAGTGTTCTTAAATAGAACATTTCAATAAAGCATTAACCATTACAAAATGGTAAGTTAGACTTCATTAAAATGAAGAACTATTCATCAAAAAATAATATTAACAGAGTGCTAAGCCAAGGTACAGACATGAGAAAATATGTGCAATACAAATACCTAAAATGTGCTTCAATCCAGAAAATATAATGAATTCTAAAAATCAGTAAAAAAAAAAAAAAAAAAGCCCATGAAAAATAAAAGGCACTTTATAAAGAGGATATCCAAAGGTTCAATAAGCATATGAAAAGTGACTCAACATCATTAGTCAGGTAAATTCAAGTTAAAACTACCACAGGATACTATTACCTACCTATCTACTGAAAAGGAAATATTAACCACATCTAGCAATATCAGCAATTGGAATGCTCAGAATTTGCTGGTGGGAACATCAAATAGACAACCATTTTAGAAGATTGTCCGACAGGATCTACTAAACATACATATCCCTTATCACCCACTGAAAGACAGAGGTAAGGACGGACACAGCAGCATTACTCATGATAGCCAAAACCTAGAAATAATCCAAATACCATCAAGTATATATTCATAAGATGAAATGGAAAAATTACGGCTACATGAAACAACTAATGAGTCCCACACACGACACTGAATGAAAGTACCAGATACAAAAGAATAGTCCGTTTACATGATGTTCAAAAACAGGCACAACTAGAAAGAAGTGACAGAAGTCAGAATAGTGCTTCTCCTTTTTATTTGAAGTAGGGAGAAATCAAAGAGAAAGGCATGGGGAGGCAACTAGGTTACTGGAAATGTTCTGTATCTTGGTATAGGTGGCAGCTAAAAAGGCATGTATGTAAGTAAAAATGTAATGAATGGGTCTTTTAAGACTTTTATACTCTATCCTTTGTGAATTACATAATATGAAAGAAAACACACGCTATCTCTTAAAACTCTACTTCCTATAAAGTTTATCTTTTATTTTTCCCTTTTTGTTTGACAAGGTATTTTTCTTCTTGATGAAGAAATCATCAGTATCCATTTGACCTTAGAATTAAATTATCTTAACTCTCATATGGCAAACTTTAAGAAAGGGGATAAAAAGCACCATCTTTCTCCAATGATTACAGTAAAAAGCAGGCTTAGCTTGCATAATCCAACTACTTTATAATCTTTTTAAGCAGGAACATCAAAAAGTTGTTATAATAAAAGATCAAAATGAAGAAAAAATTATAGTAAAATAAGCTTCTGTTAAATCAACATCAAAAAGCCCCTTTGACCCTTTCTCTGGAGCAGAGGAAACTATAGTAAACTGAATATGGTAATTACATGTTTTTCTGTGTTTTAAAATCAATAAGAATAAAGTACATGGTGATCATTACATGTTTGTCATTGCAGATAACCAGAACCAGCTAAAAGGACATTCTGTTGATTCAGGCATCTGTAACTATTTCAAAAAACACTAAATAACCATTAAAATCCTGGATATGAGTTACCTATGTGGTAGTTAAAGAAAAATAAAGAAAAACTACATAAATCCTCTCTACAACAGAGTTAACAACATTATGACAAAATGTTTGAAACACTCTTTAGCTCTCTTACATCAACACCATGTAAAAGACAGTATTCTCAACATTGTTTTAAATCGAGGAAATTTATAATCAACAATTTAAGAAGCTTTGAAGCAGTGTAGCAGCAGATCCTAAATTAGTATTAAACTTCCTCAAGTCTCCCTAATCACAATACAACATACTTGAAATCTTGAAAATGAAAGATATATGGTGAGTTTAAAGACAAGACAAATAAAATGGAGCTTAACCCCTGCCTTCATCTAGTATAATGAAAGAGTCTAGTTCAGGATTCATGTAAGAAAGGAGAGAATTTACCTGCCAAGCTGGAACAGAAGTTGAGTTGGACATGACTGTTTTTTGCAGCTCTTCAAGGACAGCATCTGGGAGAGGGTTTTGTGACTCCAGGAGTGGTTTACACTGAACTTGTCTCAAAAGTAAGATAATAGCTGGCTGATCAGGGTTACTTTTTAAATTCTAAAAATTAAACCCCAAATAGAAATACATCAAATAGATTCTTGAATGTTAAGTGGCAATTAAGTATTCTCCATGTTGGAAAAAAAAATGTGAACTTAACCTTTTCTTAATAAAAAATAAAGAACTACAAAAGTAAAATAAATAAAACAATGAACAGCTTGAGAATATCAAACTCCACATTTAAATTAAAATTGATAATGCTATTATTGTAGTTTTTAATTCATTTATTTTAGTTTGTCTCTTTGACTTGTTTTATTCACAGGTGATATCCTGAAAAACTTAAGTTCTGAATGTAAATAGGTGAATTCAGAAGACATAAAATTAAGTGAAAGCTAACACTATTCCTTATCGGAAGAAACTATACAGGAAGAGCTATAACTTATAGTTTTTTTTTTCCTTTTTCAATCTCTTCACAAAAATATTCATTAGATGTCCTTCTCTAGGCACAGACTTCCTAAACACTGTAAGAGAAATGACCCATTTACCCATTTCCCTAAGCCATTATTTATACACATACACATACAGAATTATATATATGCATATGTATCTCTTCATATATATATATATATATATATATATATATATATATATATCTCGAAGAAGTTTCAGAAAGTTCTCTAAACAAGTCTTCCACTGTTTTAAACATTTCTTTCTTTATTGCTGGTCCCTCAATAACATACTTAATTTTTTTAATTAAGTTATAGTCTTAAATATATGTGATTGCTTTCTTCTAAGAAATTGGCACAAAAAAAATAGTAAGATTCATAAAAGTATCCCTTATTCTGTCAGAGAGAGCATAGCAACTGTCAGTTGCTTATTAAACACTCACTGCATAATACTAATCTGTCCTGAATTTAGATGGAATTTCTTAAATAAAAGAGAAAATTTATTACTCTGCTTTTCAGAGAATTCAAACACCAAAGGGACCTTCAAGGATCCATTCTTCCTTCTCTGTAAAATTCATCTCCTCCCACACCCTCTTGCCCCCCCAAAAAAATTTCTAGAAAGAAAATACAGTCTCGACTTGGTAAGCATTTATGAAAAAAGATGCTTTCAGAAGAAGCAATGTTTGAAAACCCACATTATCCATTCAATTATTTCTGAGTAGGTTTATGAAACTGATTCATTCACTGAATACATATTTACTGAGCCCCTACTATGTGTTAGGCAAGGTGCTAAGGATTTACACACAGAGCCTACAATCCAGGTATGTACAAGGTAACTACTAAGTAGCTCCAGTTGCCCACTTACTCCTCATTGTCTTTCTATGTGGTTCAGAGCTTTAGAGATGCCAGAAAATACAGCATTCTGAAAGTAGTAACCAGAAATCAAAGGGAAATATGGCTTCCATAATGGTATTCCCCCCAACAAAGACCTATTAAGTCCTTGAGTCCTAGAGTCAGACAAATGTGAGTTCAAATAGCACCTCAATCATTTTCTAGCTGTGAACTCTTGTGCAAATTACTTACCCTCTCTAAGCCTTAGTTTACTCATTTATAAAAAGGGGATAATAGTATTTATGCCATATATTCTTGGGAAGTTCAAATACAAACTGCTAAGTGTCCTGACAGGCTTATAGGAAGTACTCAATAAATGCTGGGTGGTATCATCATCATCACTATCATCACCACCACCATCATATGCCCTTTAAATACTGTGCATTCCATGTTTAATGTTATCTTCTAAGTAGGATAAGAATCCATAAATCTCAATGCTCAATTTCATAATAATACCTTTGTGCAGAGGGCTTCAGCTTCAGATATTCTTCCTGTGTCTATTAGACCAGTGACAGCTTGGGAGAGAGACCACTTTTCAAGAGATTGGTTATACTCCTTAAGGAATTCTTTGTCTTTAACTGTTAACAAAAATGTTAATGTTACTTTCTTCTGCAATTTATAATGTGTTCTCAGAGGAGTAATCAATTGCTAAGAAGTATTACAATTAGACTTATCATGCATATACAATTTTTTAAAACTTACATGTATTATAGGAATACCATAGACCATCCTAGTACGTGCCAGGTTTCTGAAAAGTTTCATGGTAGGAATATTTGTGGTTGAATAACTTAAAACTTTATAGACTTGTGATTTACATAAAAAATCACTTTACAGTAAAACTAAAAATAATTCATTGAAAAAATTAAATACTGTGACATAACTGACATATGATAAATTACACATATGTACATATTCAAATTCTACAACCTGAAGACTTTTGACATGAGCATATATCTATGAACCATCACTACCATCAAGATAATGAACATATTCATCATCATGAAGATTTTCACCCTACCCCTTTGTAATCACTTCTGTCCCCAACATACTTCTCCTCTTACTGTCTGTCCCAGGCAACCACTAATTATTTTCAGACACAATGGATCAGTTTGCATTTTCTAAAATTTCACATAAATGGAATCATAAAGTATAGCATATAGTATTGTCTAGCACCTTCACAACTATAAATATGGTAAATTACATTTCCAGATGTAAAGCGACTTTACATTCCTAGGATAAACCCCACTTGATCATGATGTATTGTTACCTTTTTTATGTGTTGTTGGATTTGAATTGCTACGGTTTATAATGAATTTCGGCATTTGTAGTTCCACAGTATTCTTGTTAAAGTCTTTGCCTGGTTTTGGTGACAGGATAATGCTGGCCTCAGAGAAGAAGAATACCAACTTTTCTATTTTCGGGAAGGGTTTGTATAGAACTGGTATTATTTCTTCCTTAAATGTTAGGGAGAATTCCTCAATGAAGCCATCTGGTCCTGGAGTTTTCTTTGTCGGAATATTTTTAACTAAAAATTCAATGTCTTTAATAGATACAAAGCTGTTTAGTTTATTTACTTCTTCTTAAGTGAGCTTTGTGTCTTTTAAGGAATTTGTCCATTTCATCCAAATTGCCAAATTTAATAGTGTAAACTGTTCCCAAGATCCTGTGATTAGCCTTTAAATAGCTATAGTGATGTACCCTCTTTCATTCCTGATGTCTGGCTAGAGGCTTATCAATTCTACTGATCTTCTCAAAGAACTAGTTTTCACTTTTGTTGATTTTCTGTTTTCTATTTCACTGATCACTACCTTTTATTACTTCTTTTCTTCTGCTTACTTTGAGTATAAATTCTTCTTCCCTTTTCTAGTTCTTAAGGAGAAGCTGAGATCACTGATTTGAAGGCTTTCTTTTCTAATGTAGACATTTGATGCTATCAATTTCCTGTAAGCAGTGCTTTAATAGCACCGTAGAAATTTGACATGTTTTTTTTTTCCTTCTCTTTCAGTTCAAAATATTTTCTAACTTCCCTTCTGGCTTATTCTCTGAACTGGATTATTTAGAAGTATGTTATTTAGTTTCTAAATACTTGGGAATTTTCCAGATATTTTTCTGTTACTGGTTTTTAACTTAATTCTATTATATTAAAACAATATGCTTTATATATTATTTGAGACCTTTTAAATTTATTTCAAACATTTCTGGCCCAAAAGAAATGTAGGTAGATGTTCTGTGTTCACTTGACAATGCTGTTATAAAGAAGTATTCCATAAATGCCAATTAGGTCAATTTAGTTGAGAGTGTTGTTCAAGTCTTTATTATATCTTTACTGATTTTTTTGTTCAATTGTTCCATCAATTATCGAAAGAAGAGTACTAAATCTCTAACTATATAATTGTGGATTTGTCTGTCCCTCCTTTCAGTTCTGTAAGTTTTTGCTTCATACATTTTTCCACAAGCTTCTTTTTTTCTACCTATTTTATTTTGAAATACAATGCAGATTATATGTGTTTTGAAGCTCTGTTACTTAGTGCCTAAAGGCTTATAGCACTGTTATGTCCTCTCAATGAATTGATTCCATTATGAAATGACCTTCCTTATCATTGGCAATATCCTTTGCTCTAAAATCCAGTTTGTCTGAAATTAGCATTGCCACTCCAACTTTCTTTTGATTAGTGTTGGCATGGTATATCTTTTTCCAATCTTTTACATTTTAGGCTATTTTTGTCTTTATATTTAAATATACATTTATATTTCATCTATGTTTCTTTTAGGCAGTATATAGTTGGCTCTTGCTTTTTTATTCAATCTGACAGTTTCTGCCTTTTAACTGGGGTGTTCAGACCATTTAACTTGACTACTGATATGGTTGGGCTTAACTCCAATGTGTTACTTGTTTTCTATTGGTCTTATCTGAGTCTTTGTTCCCTTTTTCTCGTCTTTGAATTATTTTTTACAATTTCCTTTTATCTACCTTGGTGGCTTATTAGCTATAACTTTATTTATTTAGTATCTACTTTACATTTTTAAGTATTCATCTTTAACCTGCCACAGTCTACCTTTAAGTAATATTATACCACTTCACTTACAGTATAAAAATTTTACAACAGAATATTTCTGTTTCCCCTCCTGTTCTTTGTGTTATTGTTGTAATATGTGCTTTAAAGAGTCAAGTACATTTTAAAGAGATTTCTAGTGTGTCATCTGTGGATCTGTTTCTATTGATTGATTTATCTCATTATGGGTGGTACTTTTCTACCTCTTTGCATGCCTATTAAGTTTTAACTGGATACCAGACACTGTAAATTTTACCTTGTTGAATGCTGAACATTTTTGTATTCCTGTAATGTTCTTGAGCTTTGTTCTGTATGCAGTTAAGGCTCTAGAAAATGATTTCATCTTTTCAAGGCTTGTTTTTAAGCTTTGTCAGATGAGATCATTCAGCCTTTAGTGTAGAGCTAATTATGCCCACTACCTTCTTGCAATATCCTTCTGAGTACTTTACACTGAATTCATTATGTATAAAATGTTTTTCTAAACTTACTTGAAGCAGAAACAGCAGATAACAGTGCCAAGTACAAATCCATTCTCTTTGGCTGAGTGTTGTTCACTAGAGCCAGTTTATCATCAGCATGACAGGCTGCCATTAGCCCAGCCCAGACAGCAGGATCACCTAAACATAAGGAATATAGTTAGAAGGCTTGTTAATATCAACATATTGCTGAAAAACTATCAAAAATGAGAGTGAGTTTATAAATACCAAAAAATTAAATCAAAAATAAAATAAATTGTATCTCTAGAAAAAATCCATTTTCTTAAAAGAAATTGATTTATACTTCTTTTCAGAAGACACATTACTATATTCATCCTTCAAGATTTGTCTTTTTCTCAAAATACTGCAGAGGATAAGAAATATCCTATTAAGTTCTTCCATGGCTGGTTAGCTCAGTTGCCTAGAGTACTGTGCTACTGTGGAAAAGTCGATTATATTCACTTTCATTGGACACCAAAGGCAAGTCTCAAAGAGACACAGTCATCATTCAAACCCCGTATTAAAGGTCCAATCATAGGAAAAGCAAGATAGTATTTCTCAGTTTTTAAGAAAATTTCGAGTCAAAGGAAAAGCTCAAGACAACTCCATTTACCTATGTTCTAACAGTCAAGCATGAAAGTCATTTTATCATTCCAAGTGAAGCAATTCTATGATTGTATCTATCCCTTCATTGATTTGATCTTTCCTTCTTTCCTTCACACCTTGACAGCAGCTTCAGGGGAGAGGGGGAAGCAGTGGACTGAGGTGGTAATAATAAAGATTATGCATATAGATGCCTCTTTTTTAAAAAGGTAGTTGTAAAAAGGTGAAAAAGAATTTAGAAATTAGAAGAGTTTTTATTTTTTGGTCTTCCATAAGTCATATTTTGCAGGTTAATATCTGCATGGTCAATATCTTAGGCCTGCTATGTTTAAAAAAACAAATAATTTTGGGGTCCCTGGATGGCTCAGTCGGTGGAGCATACAACTCTTGATCTCAAGGTTGGGATTTGAGCCCCACATTGGGTGTAGAGATTACTTAAAAATACAATCTTCCAAAAAAAACCCCAAACAAACAAAAAGACAATTTTAAAATCCCACAGGGGTGCTAGTTAACAATATAGTCGTTTATTTTATTTTTTTAAGATTTTATTTATTTATTTGACAGAGAGATGGAGAGAGCACGGCAGGGGAAGCTGCAGGCAGAGGGAGAAGCAGACTCTGTGCTGAGCAGGGAGCTCGACGTGGGGCTCAATCCCAGAACCCACCTGAGCCAAAGGCAGACACTTAACCAACTGAGCCACCCAGGTGCCCCAACAATATAGTCATTTAAACAAAAATTTTAGCTTAAGTTTTATATTTTTTCCTATCTAATTGTTCCATGCAATATATATCCTCTATCAAATGTCTGAAATGTATGTCTACTTCACTTATAGAGGATCAGTATTACTGCTAATAGTACAGGAATCATTAGAAACCTTAGGCAGATAAAAAAATTTTTACAAAAAAATTAAATGCCTATCTCCATATTATACAATAATTTCTGCCCAAGACAATGACTACCTTATTTTAAACAACAAAAGACATAATCACACTCCGGGATAAGGAAATGGGAACCATTCCTTAGAATTCCTGAGATCTGATTATTGTATAATGAAAGACATGTGACTGTCTTAGACCTGGGTTTCAGCTCTAACAATGCCACGGATTAAATGTGTGCCAGCTTTCCCTTTGGGACTCATTTTTCTATAAAACAAGACGAGTGAACTAGATGATGGCTCAGGTGTCATCAGGCCTAGAACCCAAAATTCCAAATGAAGTGGACTCAGTTTGTGAGTATGAACTTATTTCTAAGATTAAGTGAAAAACTCCTTTAGGGATCTTCGGGTATAGTTTTAATTTCAGGAGGGAGGAAATGGATATCAGCTGGCAGTAATTTCTTCTGTCATAATTCAAAAGAATTACTGCTTTCATTAACTCTTCCACAAGTAATCAGCAACTCAAATTCCCTATGAAACCAAGTGATAATATAAATATATGTATATACTACGAACCTAAAATTTTTTAAATATAATTTGCTAAAAATACCTTTTAATATCACAGAAGCATTGACCTAGCAGAAATTGGATTTTTTTAATTTAATTCTAAAATCTTGGGATTATACTTAAATTTCTGAAAAGATTCCTTTGAATATCATCTATCAAAACTATACTTTGATAAAGTTCTACAAGATCACAAGGATAAAGATCTGCAAGGATTAGGTATATAGCTACTACACATAACTACAATTATATTTACTTTCACTGGACTCCAAAAACAAGTCTCACAGAGGCACTCATCTTCATTGCTCAGTCCCCCTTTCAAGCATCTTATAGGATGATTCTAATTCCTTGAGTATGTATTTCTCCAGATAATATGGGAAAATAAGATCATTATAGAAGACCTTATCTGGGCAATCTCACCTTTCTAAAAGTTTATGTCACTCACACAATCAAAAGCTAACAGATCTTTTATCATTCTATATCCATGATAAAAATCCTCGAGAGTAATTCTATCTAATACTATCTTGAACTAACCTCTAAAAATCAAAAACTTATCCAGTGTATAACAAAGACAATTCCAAATGTTTAGGGTCTCTTTTGGTTCTATTACATAAATGAAACAAAGAATAAACAACAAGATGTTGGTTTGTTTACTTGTTTTATAAAATAATCTCTGATTTATTAAATATTTTGTTTAGTTAGGATCTTTACAATTTACTCTGAAGATAACATTGGACTTATTTTGTACAATTTGCTTCCTAACAGTCCCTAGCCAAAAACAAAAGTTTTCTGATTTAACAAATGTTTGAAGTACTCTGCAGGAAAAAAATTATTTAATTCTGTATCTCATATTAAAAATACTACTATGTAAAAATACACACTGATAGGTATTCCAGTCCTCTAGCAATGATAATGGAAGTATACTGATGTGGTCAGAGGTACTTCTTCAGTGATCAATGTGATCAAAGACACAAAGACGGGCTAGCTCAGGTGAGGACATCACCTTGACATTCCAACAGTTACTCCAGAAGACATATCTCCACTCTTTAAGGAGCCAACTACCCATAAAAATAACTAAAATAACTAAATATGTTCATTAAATAATTTAGTAGCTATAGGTAAACCTCATTGAAGCAGAGTATGGAAAACAAAAATAAAACTACTTCTTGAAAATACACAATTCAGTTTCAATAAAGTATCTTTATGCAGATATTCCTTCCAGCCTGCTTCAAGAATTGATTATCTCTTAATTATCAGGAGTCAAATGCAAGATAATCAAATAATATGCAAAAGCTTAGAATATTTTCTTAAAATTCCTTTACTTCATGAAATGCAAACTCTGTGTCTATAGGTCACAAATGCAAGACCAGAAGAATCTGAATTAATGAAATGGATTACATTATATTCACCTGGAGAAAGAAGAGCTGCTTTCTGAATGGTCTTTAGTGCAATATTTTTTTCAGTTTCTGCTGAACTGCTTCCCATAGCTAACTGATTTACTGCAGTGTACAGTAATGCCTTCTGCATAAAAGAAAAAGTGTTAGCCAATTATTTTTATAGCTCCATGACATTCAAACTGACTAAAAAAAGGACTATATCAGGTATGATATAACGTACTAAACCTAGGAAGAAAAATTATTTTATTGTTTCATCAATAATAATATTTAACAAGTAGGACATTTTCTTTGTACGGGAGAAAACTAACCTTTCCATGATTTGAGTCCAAAATATGAGCCACATTTCCTGCTACAGCACCTCCCTATAATAGAAAATATTTAGATAAATGTATAAACTTTCACAAATAAAAATTAACACTGATAAAAGTCTTTCCACCAAATATTTTATCACATTCATAACTTCCAAATTCCTGAAGTATCAAATGATTACTGCTTTAAGAGATGTTTAGTATTTTTATAAAAAATCTTTTCTACTACGATCATTTCAACTCTACTCTTTTAAAGTATTCATTAATGGTGCAAAAGTTACACAGTTTTACACCAAACACAAGTACATATTTCCTAACAATATAAAAGAATGTGAAAGAAAGACTGAAAGAGAAAGAGAAACAGAATCACAAAATTTATTTTAGGATTAATATCGTTTTATTCCATGAAAATATGGTATTTTAAAAATTTCTGTAGTTCCTAGTAAAATGAATAGCCAGGGCACCTTGAAGCAAATCACTGCTTCAATAATCAACTCAAAACTGAAAATGAAAAAAATATATACATCATAATTTTTGTAAAGTAAGCTTGAAATCCTTAATTTTTAAATTCAGTTAGACATTTTACCTGGAAAAGAAAGTGAATTATGAGAATGATTTCATTTTAATTCAGAAGCATACTGTTCTCCTAATTTTATACTGGAACTGTATCAGAAATGTTTTGTACATCATATTTAGCATATAAAGAATGCCAAAAAAAAACCTTTAAAAATATGTTAATATAAAACAAATAGAAGATGGATTAAAAAGAAAACAGAAAACGTGGCAGAGTAAAAGGAGGATTCAGGAGTTAGATCTGGGATGATCTATCACCACAAATACTAACTGTGGTTTTGCACAAGTTATTTATTCTCTCTGTCTCAAGTGTTGTCTATGAAATGGACATTAATTGCAGCTACTTCATGTGGTTGTTGGGATAAATGACAAAATATATACAATAGTTGGCACATAATAAGTACTTCATTCTAGTACCTAATAATGATGCTCTTCTAGGTTCTTTGAAATACCATGTGCAAAAATGAGTAGGAATAACATAAAATCAGACCCACAGAGACTTCAGACAGTGGAATTATTAGATATAATAAGTGTTCAAAACATAATTAGCTACTACCATTATGTTTACCCACTAATTAGGCAGCCATGAAAGGACATAGTAACCACAGAAATTAACAAAATACTTTATAGACCTCTAAAAATATCTGGCTATTATGAATGAAAATAAATAATCCCTTTTATAGAACATCAATGACTTCGTATTGAGATTCGCATTTTTAGATTTTACAGCAATGTTTTAGTTCTTATTTTCTTATCTTTGAAGAGCTTTTAAATAAAAATATCTTTTGGGATTCAAAAAACACAACAGTTAATTCTTCCTAAATGGCAACATTATAAACATAACCTTATCACATAGACATTAACATAATCTGTATGTATTAAAAAAAAAGTCTACCTACTTCTTTGTATCTTTCATAACACCCAGAACAGTACAATAGTACATGAAGGAAACTCGGTGTACTACTTATCAAATGACAAATGGAAAATCTGGTTAAATAACAAAACTCCTTTGCTGTATTAGTTATTTCCCAGAATGATAATGCTAATATTCTAAAAATGGTATTACTTACTACATCGCAAGTTATTTTATCTTTCTGCCGGAATTTAGAACATTACTCACCTTTGCACTTCGGTTTGTATACTGAGCAACTACTCGGGACAGCAGAGACCAAAGAGCAGGATCAGCTGGGTTACTACGGAGATCATCAAAAGCAAAAGGCTTAGAGATGGAAGTCACTTTAAACCACGAAAAGTAAAAACAACCAACATTTTATTTAGATAAGTTCAAAATGTTGTAGACATCTAACACAATTTCATATTAATTGTCTATGTGTGAATGAAAGTGCCTTAATTTTCAGCAAACATATCTTCTATATACACCAAGAGTCCTTATGAAAATAAGGAAAAATCAGCAATATGATAATTACAAAGCCTAATCTAATTAATTAAGATCTAATTAAGAAAAGCTAAGGAAATTTAATATGTTGTGTTCAAGGAAAACACAGAGATGAAAACTGCAAAAGGAAAATAAACTTCATTTAGAACATTTTACTGCTGGGGTGCCTGAGTGGCTCAGTTGGTTAAGTGTCTGACTCTTGGTTTTGGCTCCATGCTCAGCACACAGTCTGCTTGAGTTTCTCTCCCGCTGCCCTTCCCACCATTCATGCATGCATGCACTCTCTCTCTAAAATAAATAAATCTTAAAAAAAACCCACTTTACTGCTGAAAATAAAACAAATAACCACTACTGCTAGTAGTAAGAGCTTTCTATTTTCTAAATTTTGAAGATATTAGTGAATGTTTGAGTGGCCAAAAATTCCTAAAACCATTAAGCTGGATGGTATCAAATAACAAACAGACCATATCACTAACTTGAGAATAAGTAAGGACTTTTGTATTAAAATGAGGTTCAGGCCTTAACTTATTGAATAAGTACAAAATTTCTGTTTTCTTATCTGCTTATCAACTGAATTTTTAAAAAAATCTTTATAGATGAAATAATGTGTATACTCAGCTACCTGGTCCTAAGTGCAATTTCATAAAACTACATTTTGGTTTACAAAAATATATGCTTCCCTCATTTTATATTCTTAATAAGGTCCAAATGTCAAAGATTAGCTCATCAAGTATAATTACTCCAAGTTCACAAGTACAGAATTTACCTGTGAACAGCTTTAGATGCTTGTCTTTGCACTGCCACACTGCGGCCTTGCAGTGCATAAATCGCTGAAGTAAGAAGGCACTTTGAATAATCGTCTTTCTGCTTGATGTGCTTCAGTAATTCATTAAGTGCCGCTTTTGATAGTGTAGCATCCTGCATTGTCAATCCGAGAGCACACAGGGCTTGAAGGCTTTCTGTGGTTGGATCCTTTAAGATAGAGCTGTAAATATTTTTAATTGTATATTAGCCATAGTACAGTAGTCTGTAACTATTAAAACATTTTTAACATTTAGTAAAATGTAAAATTTAAAATTTTAACATTTAGTAAAATGTTAAAAAAGCAACCTACTTAAGGATTCACCAAACTAAGCCCAGCTTTAAGATAAATATAAAACAGATTCCTTGGCTTCTAGGGACAGCAATTTCCCTAAAAGTCTAAAGCAGTTAAAAATACCAAGGGTCTTTCTTTTCTGTTCATTATATCAAGTTTTAGAAACAAATATAAATAGTGTTTTGGGGCCTGGGTTTTAGAAAACTAACTAACCATATAACCCTATAAATAACCACAGATATCATAGGCTATTGTTTTACTAATTTATTCCAAAAACAAAGAAATAGTTACAAGTTATATTGGTATATTTTTTTAAAGCTTTAGTTTTAAATGAACTTTATTTTATCAAGTTAACTAGAAAAATAAAGAGGAAAAAAAATCTCTTTGGGAACAAGAGGCCAAAAAATAAGCCAGTCAGAACTCCCTTCATTAAAATTTTAAGATCCTACTAGATCAGGTGATCAAATACTCTTTTAAACAAATTAATACACACAGAGTATAAGATGGTTTGAAGGACTGGATGGATCCAGAGCTAAAAATTAAGCCATGATCTCCACCTATGACTGTCAGTTGACAACCGGGTCAGTCCAATCCCTTTTGTTCAACAAAAAGTTCCTAAAACATTAAAAACTTCATTTTACATTGTTCCAATTTGTAATCCAATGTTTAAGTATCTGGTCATGTTAAGTGTTGATGTCAACTATACATACCATTTTTTTTAAAGATTTTTTATTTATTCATTTGAGACACAGAGATACAGAGAGAGAAAGCATGAGCAGGGAGAGAGGCAGAGGGAGAAGCAGGCTCCTCGCTGAGCCAGGAGCCCGATGTGGGGCTCCATCCCATGACCCCGGGATCATGACCTGAGCTGAAGGCAGACGCTTAACCATCTGAGCCACCCAGGCGCCCCTATACATACCATTTAAATAGCAATGTCTTGGCTACATCCATTTTTCCTTGTTTATACTCCGTTATTGCCAGAGCTGTCAAGATATGGGCTTTGTCCTGCTCTGATTCAACAATAGACAAGGCTCTCTCATAGGCTATTATACAGAGTTGGAAACAAAAACAAAACGATATAAACACAATCCTGATTGACAGTGAAATTTCTCCCTTTCTAATCCTATTTTTTAAAAGGTCTAACTAAATCATATCTTATTGTTTCCTTATTTTCAAGTGGATGGGAAAAAATTTTAAATAATCTAACCTGGTTTAGCTGGTCCAAGGTGATCGTGGGGATATCGTTAGGATTATTATGAGACATTCCCTAACTTCTATCTTCAGACTCTATAGGGAAATCTTTAAGCGATGTGAAGGCCTGCAGCCATTGAGATACCACGAAAATTTCCACGTGCATACCAGTAACCATCAAGCTGTAGATACTTACAGTATCTACACACACATAGGTTGGGCGCATATATATATATATATGAAAATGTACTCTGAGCATTTTTGGAGAAAATCAAACACATTATTACCAATAGGTCAAGGTCTTCACTTATCAGAAATTTACATTTAAGCAAAGACCTGCTTTCAAATGCTAACTCTACTTTAAGCGATCTTGGGCCTCAGTTTCCTTATATAAATAATTAAGATAACACTCAGCTCATAACACTGCTATAAGGACTATTCACATAATAATGTACTAAGGGAGGGAACAGATAAAAAGTACCTAATATCATTCCTGACTCCTAGTTGGATCTTAATAAACATTGCAACCCCTACTCCCATTTCAATGTTCCATCTTTCTGTATATAATCTTGTGATTAAATTCCATTCAGCCCTGGAAAAGTAAGATGTGTCCTTTAGCTTCAAGCAACATACTTACCTTTGCTGCTTTCTTTATATAGACCTTTCATAAATAAAGCCAATGCAAAACCTATGATGTCTTCTAACTCTTCAAGGGGTGTTGACTTAAAAGCCTGGATAGCTTTATCATATTCACCAATGGAACTAAGAAGCAAAACATAACTTACTTTTAATATTAAAAACGATTTTGGCTTATATCATAAGAATACAAAAAGACTATTATACCAAGGTTCTTTTAATACTTTCACATACTTCATCTATTAGTGTTAAAGCAAAAGAAAAAGACATATTAAAATAGAAGGTGTATCATTTATTTCAAATAAGATATACTGGAGCAATGTAACTTCACATTTTGTTTCTTTTAAATTACATATGAAAACGATTAGTTTTGCTAAATTATAAAGTGTCTTTTTTATTAACAAACTTGAACTAAAATCCCAAAGTATAAAAATAATTTCAAGTTGACTTTTATACAGAACTCTTTAAGCTTAATATATTGGTTGAATATTACCCTATGAGTATGGTTCTAGCATCTCTGACAAGCTTAAGAAGCATAAAATACCTAATTAAAATCAAACCTAGCCTTTGTATAAACTGTTTTAACTGTTTACCTGAACATCCTTTTTTTTTTTTTTTTGGAGAGTATAAAGGTAAACTAAATTCCACAGACAAAAGTATAGATTATCTTTTCTGTATTTAATAGGAAGAAAAGTAAAAATTGTTACATATGACACTAAAGTACAATACTTTTTTTAAAAGTTTATTTCATTTTATTTTTTGGAGAGAATGCACAGCACATGAGCAGGGGGGTGGGGGGGGTGGGAGGACAGGGAGACAGAGGGAGAGGGAGAGAATCTTGACCAAGCTCCACACTCACTGGGGAGCCCCACATGGCGCTCAATCTCAAGTCCCTGAGATCATGACCTGAGCTGACATCAAGAGTCAGATGCTTAACTGAATGAGCCTCCCAGGCACCCCTAAAGTACAATACTTTTTAATAACAAAAAAATAATTGTTTTGCTTATTTAAAAATGAAGAGAAGCTGCCATCGCCTGGAAAGGATACACTCTGCCCTTGAGATTCTTATTTTTCGTGTCCATCACTATAATCAGAAACTTTTATTTTTAATGTGTTATTGGAAATCTTTTTTAGAAAATCCTTTTAATCTTGGGGAGGGTATGGGATCTAAAAATACAGGCATTCTTTGATTCTAAAATTAGTCTCATAAAGGTGAAAGATTTTTAAGATTTTATTTATTTATTTGATAGAGAGAGAAAAAGCGTGAGCACAAGTAGGCAGAGCAGTAGGAGAGGGAGAAGCAGACTCCCCGCTGAGCAGGGAGCCAGATGTGGGGCTCGATCCCAGGACTCCAGGATCACGACCTGAGCCAAAGGCAGACATCCAACCGACTGAGCCACCCAGGCGCCCAAAGGTGAAAGACCGTAAAAATAAAAAAAATTTAAGGTTTTTAAAGTCAAAAAAACTCAAATTTTGATAAATATTTTGGTGAAGGAAAGAGGGCTACCTTAGATTGTATATGGATACATACATATATTAAAAGTTTTTTTTTTTAATAAATACTATCTTCAAACATGTGATTACTTTTGTAGAGAACAGAATAGAACCAGGAAAGGCACAAGGCTTTAATTTTATTTGTAACTTTTTCTTTGGAAAAAAACCCTGAAGACAATGGACAATTTTAAGATCTGTTATATTTGGGCAGTGACTATTCATTAAATTATGCTGTATACTACTTAACTGCATTTTGCATGTTTAATATATTTCATAATAAAAACAAATTTTAAAAGACATGATCTATTTTCAATAGAAGATATAGATTTTTTTCAAAAATATTTACATTATATGATGGGGTACCTGGGTGGCTCAGTCAGTTAAGCGTCCAACTCTTGATTTTGGCTCAGGTCATGATCTCAGTGATGTAAGATTGAGCCCCATGTCTGGCTCTGTGCTAAGCACGGAGCCTGCTTAAGACTCTCTCTCCCTCTGTCTTCCCCCCTCCCTAAAATAAAACTAAAAATAAAAACTAAAAGTAAAAAATATTTACATTATATGAAACCAAAACTAAAAACAGATACTTGTTCCATATAATTTCTTATAACCTGTCTTCTGCTACAACAAAATCTTAGATATGATAAAACTATCAACTCCTAAACACAACAGTTTAAAAGAATTAGAGGGAAAAGCAGTCAGAACAAAAATATTTTCCTGTCTATGAATATGATTCAGTTACATGATTATAAAAGAGAAGAACTGGCTACCTCAGATCTCTACTATGTGCCTCTTTAAAAGATACAGGCACTAATCCCAAAATATCAAACTATAGTTTTAATGTTTTTCAAACTGGACCATTCAATTTGGGGGCAGTTCTCAGCTTGAGGAACACCTCCCTAACTTGAGCCAAAAACCTTCCTCCCACAATACTTCTATTCTCTAGACCTAATTCTAATCTCTAAAATAATTGGGTTTTAATCTTTTTTTTTTTAACTCTTTTTGAAGTCAAGTCTTTGAGAACCTGAAGAAAGCTATATGGCTCTCTCTCCATCACAAAATGCACATACACAAAAATTTTTATGTACTGTTTCTAAAGGGCTTCTGGGTCCTCAATGGCCATTCCCCATGTAAGTATAAGCAGCAAACAAGTCAGAATAAGTCCAATTCCTCTTCCAATTAACTAGGGTTCTATTACAACAGACAGTAAGAGCCTCTCTTTGAAATGTTCTCTTGTACAGTCCACAACCATCAGTTCTAAATCTGCTTCTCACTGAAGCACAGTGGCCTTAGATATCAGTATAGGAACAGGAAACTATTTACAAAGCCTAGTATTGAGGGAATTATGTATCCTTGGGAGATTTTCAGCCCACTCAACTATATACGCCCACTACTCTGGAAATTCGTCACCACCTCACTAGTCCTATAGCTTTCACCAGAAAAATCTAATAAATTCACAGAATTAATGGGAAAAAAATACACTTACCATAACAATCTGCCATAATTTCTTACTGTAACATTATAAGTATCTTGGTCTTCCGCAGTCTGTAACAATAACATTGCCCTTAAAAAGAAGGACAAGGTATTTTAAGTTACCTATGTACAATAGCATTCTTTTACTCTTCTTCCTTAACACAAGATTTTGTAACTTTTTCTTTGGGAAAAAAACCCTGAAGACAATTGACAATCCTGTAAGTTTTTGTTTTCTTCATTTAACTCTAATTCTTTAATGCTGTCATAACAACTTGTTCACATAACTTGTTTACAACAAGATGGTATAACAAAAGCACTTAATATTTAGATTTTAGACTGTCAGGAAAATTACATTAATAAGGTGATCTCTTACTAAGTGAAATCATTTATCATACTTGAGTTTTAAATATTCCAAAAAACTTAATCTAAATATGGGAAACAATGGTGTTGCTATTTTAGTTTTGACATTATCTCAAGTATATAGCAAACAATCTTAAAAATATTTATACAGTAGTTTGAGTTAGGAAGCCAGGAAATTGAGTGCTTTCATGTGCCCTTACCCGTTACATACAAAAAAATATTTAAGCAATATTTAGTTAAGAAAGAAAAGAATCATAAGGAATCCCCAAAGGCCTTATTTTTATCTTCTTGTGTTCAGTCCCCTTGGGACAAGCAGAAAAATGTCTTAATCAACAGGAATTGGATATTTAGTAAAATTTTTGTTTTTACCTTCCTTTTCTGTTTAAAAAGGATTATCTAGGGAGAACTATCCAAGGAAAGCTTTTAATATGTAGAATGTTATGCGAAAAACAAATATTTTCCAAAGCAGTCTAAAAGACAGTATTATACAGTATATTAAAAACTATAATCGTTAGATTTATACCTAATTTGTGGTTTTAAGCTTCAAATAGTTGTTTAAGGCAGAAAACAACAGCAGTAATCAGTCAAGGAAGAGTGGTGCATATTCATATGACTGTGGAGTTGCTATTTTAAGTTAAAGGTATAACTAGTGTTAGATTCATAGTATATACAAAACATTAGCAAGCACTGTAAAGCTATCTAATTTTTCTGTTTAAAAATCCTGCTTACTGTTGTATTCTACCATATTTCTACAGTTTACAGGTAAGCTTATTGTGACACTGAAAGAAACAGACTTGTGTTTTTTTATAAACCTCCACATACACCTGAAAAAATACCTTCTTGATTATACAGCCTCCAGTACCATCTAGTGATGACTCCTTTGAACTACCAAGAGATCCATAAAAGGGCATGGCAAAGCATTTCGGGCAACTCAATTATTTTTTATCTAACAAGGCTTCTTGTAAGTATTTTTTAGATTTAGGGCAATGATACATGCACTTAGGACTTTTAACTTTTCACCTAGTATTCACAATGTTAATAATTTTCTTATTTACCAATCAATTCATTTGCAGAGAATAAATCTTCAAGTTGATTTCATTTCCTACCCCCTCCTGGTTGGCTGTTTCACTCGAGCACACTGTCCTTGTTTCTTCAACACACCAAGTCCACTCCTGTGTCAGAGCACTTGCTCTTGCTATTCCTTCTGCCTGGATGCTCTTGCCTCTTAACCAATGGCTTAGAGCCTCACTTCATTCAGGCAAGCGTCAACCGGCTCCTTAGGAAACCTATCACTCTTAAACCTGTCTCAAATTCACTACCTGCCTTAATATTCCCTGGCCCTTTACCCCATTTTGATTTTCTTTCTTAGCAATTATTACCATCATAGATGTTTATAAGCTTATCATATGTCTCCCCACCACCAGAACAGAAACTCCATAAGAATAGAGCCTGTGTCTGTTTTATTTTGCTGCTAAATTGCCAGTGCCAAGGACAATGCTTGGCACAAAGCAGTTCAAAAACTACTGAGTGAATAAAATATAGATCTCAAATACAAACAAATATATCATAAGGTTCTCATTTCTTTTCTGAATGAACCTACGTGTTTTTTTATAAAGCTAGACAAAGTCTAAAGTGAAAACTTGGTCTAAAGCTAGACGAAGTCTTAAATGAAAATTCTGTTCTTCGAAAACAAAATCTGAGAGATTTTTTAGTTTGGTTTTTGTTTTTTTTCCTCTCTGTCCCTCTCTTGGATTGAGCAACAGAAACCCAAATATAGCTGAAAATTTAAAACTGTGTCTTTTCATCTTCAGAGATGTAATAATAATAGAAGATATCAGGAAAGGAATCAGAACATTTGTTTAGTACCTTCTTCATTAACTGAGACTAAATAAAAAAAGGCCAACTAATAAATAAGGACCACTTTTAATTAAATGTAGAGTTTACCTTTGGTATGCATCTGTGGCTTCCTTTTTCAGTTGTAGATGTTCATTTAAGTAACCCAACATTGTGAAAGCTGGCGCATAATTCTGAATTCTTTCTGAAAATCCAAAAATATCTTTTCTTTACATGTGCATGCTGGTTGTGTTTGTAAAATGCTAGTTTTATTTTCAATATCTTAGATACCAGATTACCTCCTAAGACTACTGGCATTGTTAAGAATAGTCTGATATTTATCTTGATTATAAAATACTAGTAATCATTTTATAACTTCTAAATTATTGAGTATTTTATAATTATTTATAGTTTCTAGTTACACCTTAAAGTCTAAACATTTTTATCCCCAAAGGTGTAATAATTTGAAATTGTAGCTCATGTTAACACTAGTCATAAGATTTATAAGGAAATTCAGTTCTTTGGCTAATCATTTAAACTTTCCTGCAATTTTCTTGGTGGTTCTGTTCCAATTTCTATGTGTTTAAAAAAAAAATAAACTCAGGGGTGCCTGGGTGGCTCAGTCGTTAAGCGTCTGCCTTCAGTTCAGGTTATGATCCCAGGATCCTGGGATCGAGCCCCGCATCGGGCTCCCTGCTCAGCAGGAAGCCTGCTTCTCCCTCTCCCACTCCCCCTGCTTGTGTTCCCTCTCTTGCTCTCTCTCTGTCAAAAAATAAACAAAATCTTTAAAAACAATAAAAAATAAACTCAGTATTGTACACTAGAAACCCAGGATGACTTGGACACTTTCAATGCAGTATTTTGAAATTTTAATGTCAAAAAACATTATGTATGTACTAACATACAGAGAAACACATCTGATTTACTTAAAAGTAGCATTGGGAAATAAGCCTTCAAACCCCTTAAATTGTTTAACAAATTACAGTGCAGTCACAATTTATGTGATGGGCAGGCTCCAAAGTTAAATCACAAAGTTAAAATTATATAGTCAAAGTTATTCTTGAAAACTCCTGAAGTCACAAAAGAGAGGGCCCTACACCAAACTGAGTCAAACTAAGAGATTCATGCCTTCCCAGCACACTCTGAGGCAAACTGTCAGCAAGACAATGAGACTGCCTGCATTCTCTCTGATCTTCTCTTTCCTTCCTCTCTCTTACTTATTCATCTGTTCATTCATTCACTTATGGCAAGGCCACATATAGTTGAATTTAAATGAGTATGATATGGCTCCACTATACGGTAAAAAACTAGGCATGCATAACTGTCAGGGAACTCTGTGTTCATTGTTCTAGGTATCTGAATTTTGTAGAAAGCTAAAGATTTCTTTAGCTATGTAAATCCTTTACAAATGTTACCCATTCTTATGGAAACTTCACAGTAAAATTTCTGACCCATACACTCTCACAGAGGCTCTAGATATTCTTTAGAGTCGTTCATTTTGGCATACTGCATAACATGAAGTGCTGATGTTTGTCAACTGTCTTCTGCTCAAGTATCCCAGGTTCAATGCAGGAAGAGTATTACAATCCTCTCCATACCAACGATGAGAAATTTTCTCTTCTGCTTTTCAGTTTATCTGATTCTTCATAATATTCAACTGTCCCTGAGCCTGCTTAAACTTCTTGCTTCTTTATTTGTCAAGGGATAAATAAAAGACTAGTGAAACTAACATTTCTTGAGCATCTAGGGTATGCCAGGTATTCTGCAAAACATTTTGTATAAATCATCCCATTTAAACTCTAAGTAATACTTTCATTCTTATATTACACGAGAAAACTAAAATCCAATTTGTTAATATGCCCAAGCTATCATTATAGCTACTAAGAGGCAGAGTAGAGATTAAAACCCACTGGCAGTTTTCCATCCCCCACCCCCCACCCCCCATCACAACTACCTTCCTTAATCCCCATCACCTATCTCACACCACCCACCTCCCCTCTGGTAACCATCAGTTTGTTCTCTATAGCTAAGAGAATGTTTCTTGGTTTGTCACCTCTCTTGCTTTTTAACTTTGTTCATTTGTTCGGATTCTTACATTCCACATTTGAGTGAAATCACCTGGTATTTAAGTCTTTCTCTTTTGACTTATTTGACTATTTGTCTCTATTTGACTTATTTCATTTAGCATTATACTTTGAAGCTCCATTCATGTTGCTGCAAATGGCAAGATTAAACTGGTAATAAAACTGGTAGTTTTGGGGCGCCTGGGTGGCTCAGTCGTTAAGTGTCTGCCTTCGGCTCAGGTCATGACCCCAGGGTCCTGGGATCGAGCCCCGCATCAGGCACCCTGCTCGGCGAGGAGCATGCTTCTCCCTCTCCCACTCCCCTTGCTTGTGTTCCCTCTCTCGCTGTCTCTCTCTCTCTGTCAAATAAATAAATAAAATCTTAAAAAAAACTGGTAGTTTTTTTAAGGAAGAAAGGAAATTATTACAATAGAAGGTTAATGAAACTTCACCATTCTGTCCTTTTCCTAAACCTAAATGTATTTTTCCAGTATCCTGAAGAAAAATCAGGTGTTAAAGTAGGAGGTTAAACACACTAGTTTTGGAATTTAAAGCAGATTATCACACTTAATTTTCACATGTCTACCACCTAGCAATTATTATCTCTACTTTACAAGGCTAACAGAAGTTAAGAGAAGTAATAAAATACTTGGCCTAAGACCACAGAGAAATAAATGGCAGAAAAGAACAGCAGCAACTCAGGCCCATCAGGCTCCAAAATTCTTTCCACTACAACACGGAAATCAGTTTTATTGTAAGCATTAGGTAACAGAAATTTTCATCACTCTTCAAGAGTCATTACTATAATTTGAAAATAGACTGCCTGGCCACTGGGAGGAAAAAAAAGGCAAATTCATGTCTTAAGGAACACTAATATTTAATTTGGAATTAACTAATTTTAAAAACTCAATTGTTTCAATGGTTATTCAAATACTGAACACCTTACCTATGTATTTACTCAAAACAACTTGGGCTGCTGGAATAGCATTCATCTGAACAATGTTGTACCGGTACAGCTCTGTATCTCTGTTGCTTTTATCTTGCAATGTTGTACAGACCCAGTACGCATAACCTATTGCTCCCTCAGTCTATAAAAAAGACGAAGTTAACAAGTAAACATAGGGTAATAAATATACCAATAAAAATTATAAAACAGTAGACTTCAATACAGTAAATATCACATCTTAGTCTTCTTTAAGTCAATTGCTAAGTGCCTCTAAATGAAGAGTCACTATGATTCAACACAGCTAAGAGCATTTTTAAATTACCTGCTCCAACCCTAAGTAGAAGAACCAAATGGGATTTAAATAAAGTGCAGAAAACAGAGCGTCACCCAATGGGCTGATCTTCTTCTCAGCACCATTCTTAGAGATAAAACTAATAATTACCAATCAAAAGGGTTCTAAAACACTTCATAATCAAGAAATGTCAACCAAGTCTAGTCCTTATCTCATGTTGATTTTGTCCTCGAGTCTCAGTTTCAATTCTGCAAGACTATTATATCTATTAAATTCCATGTCATTTCTTTATCAGCTTTTGAAAGATAACAGAAGACAAAAATGAGAAGTTCTTTAAAGATAGCTTATCTGTTTCTAAGACAGAATAAAGAGTAGAGACAACTGCTGTTATTAACATCTGATACCGCTCTGTATTCATTTTCTCAACAAGTATAATACTTTATTCATTAATGAATCCTCAAGAATGGTCAAATTCTTACATGCATACTGAGTTCTGTAGTGTGCCTGAAAAGATCCATTGTGTCATAACTTCCAACTGTCTCTGCAATAAGAGCCTATAAAAGGAAAAAAGAGGTTCTTCATGTGTTTAAAAGGAATAATAACAATAATAAATAAAACTATTTAGAAGATTCAAAGGTATACTAGCTATGCTTAAAAGCAGAGCTAATTCCTTTTTTTTTTAAGATTTTATTATTTATTTATTTGAGAGAGAGAATGAGAGAAAGAGAGAGAGTACATGAGAGGGGGGAAGGTCAGAGGGAGAAGCAGACTCCCTGCTGAGCAGGGAGCCCGATGCGGGACTCGATCCTGGGACTCCAGGATCATGACCTGAGCCGAAGGCAGTTGGTCAACCAACTGAGCCACCCAGGCGCCCGAGGTAATTTCTTTTTTAATCTTAGCTACTATATTCCCATGGCTCAGAGGACCAGAATGACTTGTTAAATTGGCCCTTAACCTGGCATATGCTTTCAGAATTCCATCTGCAACCAGCTAATGGTGGAATAATCCACATAAAATTCCTCAGAACACTGATGAAGCTGCACTAACTTCTCCCTTCCCTTTCACCTTTGATCCATTCATACTGGTATTTGTCTGGAGTAGGGTTCTTAATCATAGGATCACCTCAGATTCACCTAGATAAGCTTTTTTTAAAAAAGGAGGTCCTTACCCCTAGCTTTCTAGTTTCCACAGACCTGGGGTAGAGTCTCAACATATTTATTTTTTGAAAGTGCCTCAGAATTTATTTTATTTATTTATTTGACAGAGAGAGAGATAGCGAGAGAGGGAACACAAGCAGGGGGAGTGGGAGAGGGAGAAGCAGGCTTCCTGCGGAGCAGGGAGCCCGATGCGGGGCTCCATCCCAGGACTCTGGGATCATGACCTGAGCCGAAAGCAGATGCTTAACGACTGAGCCACCCAGGCACCCCGAAAGTGCCTCAGAATTTTAAATAACACACCTATGCCGTTAACTTCATAGACTATGAGATAAGTTAAAATTACTTTCAAACTCATCTATCTTTTATAAAAAAAATTCACATTTTTAAAGTTATCATACATTACTAATATTATTTAAGAAATAATATTAGGTCTTACTTTTACTGTTACCATTTTAATTAAATCTACCAGTTAATGTCTGAAATAAATTATTTTTAAGAATAAAAAGAATTGAGGGGCGCCTGGGTGGCTCAGTTGTTAAGCGTCTGCCTTCGGCTCAGGTCATGATCCCAGGGTCCTGGGATGGAGCCCCGCATCGGGCTCCCTGCTCCGCGGGAAGGCTGCTTCTCCCTCTCCCACTCTCTCTGCTTGTGTTCCCTCTCTCGCTGTGTCTCTCTCTCTGTCAAATAAATAAATAAAATCTTTAAAAAAAAAAAGAATAAAAAGAATTGAAAAATTTAAAAAAAAATACTTAGGTGGCTCTGATTAGCATCCAAAATCTCCTGACCTAGAGCAGTACTACTCAAGTCAAGTCCCTGGACCAGAACCAGCACCTGGGAACAGTTAGAAATGCAAACTCTTGGGCCCCTTGAGTCCAATAACTTACACAGAGATTAGTAATAATGCCATTGCTCCCAGATGCTATCATAGTTCATAGAACCACAGTTCATAGAGTTACCTAACTCTGTTTGCTTCACCAATTAACTAGAATTTGACCCAAAAGTCAAAAGTAGAATAAAACATATCTAAATTCTGATTATTGATTTCCTGAGATGGGTGATGCTCCTGCTATTCTCTGAACCAAAACAATCAACCACTTACTAATGTATCATTACAACTCAACTAGGTGAGACCCTGGAGGCCACTCAGCCAAGCTCCTTCTTTTTCAAGTTAGAAAAATGAAATCTAGCAGTGATATGTTAAGATAAAATAATCAGTCAGTGACGGACTCACATTCATAACCAAGTATCCTGATTCCTATATGGCAATACACAAATCTAAACTTCAGGGGAGCAGGGGAACAATACTCATAAACAAGCATCAAATCAAATATAAAGATTTTACAGATAATGGGAAAACATAATCAAAATGATCTTTGCCAATCTTAATTTTTTTGGTAAATGTGCATTTAAATAACAGAGTTCTGGTTTTGTTTTGTTTTTTAGCATTAATGTCAGACTAATGGGGCTCAAAGCCCCCCAGATCAAAGCTTAATCATTACAAGTTGTATGACCTTGGGCACAATACTCAGGATCTCTAAACTTCAATTTCCCCATCCATGAGAAGTTTAATAACAACCACCATCTCAAAGGATCGATGAAAGACTAACTGAAATAATACATACAAAGAGACTAGCACAGTGACTGGCACAAAGGAAGTCTTCAAATGTTACCTGTTATCATTATTATCATTGTTATTTGTATTAATAGGTTATTTATACCACTTTACATATTAATACGTTGTTTATATCTTAGAATTATTAATAAATACATATATCTTACTTGTCCAATCCAGCACATTAAATAAGACGGATCAAGAGACTGAGCCATTTTGAAAGCTTCATGAGCTTGCTAGGAAAAAAAGTCAAAAAAATAACATATGTCATTTTATTAACTTAGTACTAAACTAAAAAGCATAAGAGAATAAGATAAGTCATACTTGTCAACATAAACACTTATAAATCTAAAACTTCATCGTTTAAACACAACTAGCAATGTTTAAAACTGTGTTTTAACTACATAGTCCTAAAAACTCGTGGGTACAACCGATCTCTCTACAGGCTTAGGGGTTCTGGTCCCCAGTGAAAGGACAATAGAGAGATGCACCTCATAGTCTGTAGAACTTTTAACTAATCACCCATCCATTTGCTAGCCACAGGCAGAAGTATCTATTGCCCTCTCCTGAAGCTTAACTGGTAGAATAAAAACTAACAATGAGGTCTATGACATGTATCTGCTACTGGGCAAAAAAAGAATGATCAACATAAATCTGTGCTAAGCAGTCAGGAAACTTTAAAGCTACCTCACTTGGGCACATTAAGTTGCGTGCTTATTTTTCTGCTACAAACACTGTTATATGCTGCCTTATACTGTTTACTCAGTAATCTATATGCGACAGGAAACAGTCTTATTTTTCTTATGGAAAAGGAAGCTCAGGGATGGCAACTGAGTTGTGCTATCATAAAACTATATTCATAGCTTATTAACTAATATCTAGCTTTGTTTAAATTTTTAAAAATATTTTCACATATTTTAAGTCCCAAATTAATATTTTCCTTCATTCTGTTTACAGTCTTCTGAAGTAATCTTTGCAGTGAGTTAATTTATCCTGAAAATATTACTGAAGCTATTTTAAAAGGATGATATTCAATATAATAGCTGAAACACAAAACAGTACAGATGTGCTATCATCTACAGATTTATGGAAACTTCTAAACATGCTACAAACACGTTTCCAATTACTGTATTTCCAATTCTCTAACATATAATTGTTCAAGTTGAAAATTACATTGTGGCATCTAAAGGAATTAATATCCACTAAAGCCCAACTGAAATCACTCAAGCATAGATTAAGCTTAAGCTGCAAGACAGTACTAATCATCCCCGTGACTTCCTCACCCCACCCCTAACAGAGCCTACACCGGTCTCCTCTTACACGTGTACAGATAAAAAGAAAAACACCCAAATAATTCATAACAGAATTGTTTTAATCTTTAAATGAAAACCCAACATAATTAATAAAACCAAAATTTCTTCAGTTGTGTGGAAAGGAAAATAAATCTTACAAATTCACTATTCATATATGTAATAAACCAAATGTCATCAATTATCTAGCATACAGGAGGGCATACAGAATAGACAATAACATTCAAAGTAATTCTCCACAAGAAGCTGAGTGATTACAAAGAGGTCATATATAAAGAACGCTTTTACTTTTAAAGTGACAAAACAGACAACACATTTACCTCAATGTTTTCATTTGCAAGGTATAACACTCCCAAGTTGGTCCATGCAACAGCATTCTAAAAAACATATATATACAATTAGGTTCCTGCCTACAGGGCAGTCTCAGAAAATTATTAACACTAAATTTTGGAGTTCTTTATCATAGATAGATACAAAGAACACCCACAATTTGTTCTGACTGGATAGACTTGATGAAACAGTGTTGAGCAAGGGCATAATTTCCAATACCTGAAAAATACAGAATTTGATAAAACTGAACTTTATTACCTAAAACAATCTTCTAAAAATATTGAAGTGTTACTCAGTTCTTACCATTGTGACATGAAACCACACCAAGAGCATTCCAGTATAAGTGATTTTTACTGTCAAGTCTCACTGCCTTTTTCAGACACTGAAAAGTAAAATTAGATTAATTTTTATATCTTGGAACAGCAGCATTTATATCAAGATAAATGTGGTTTTATGTGAAAACACGATAGTATCTACTTTATCAAAAACATCTATCAGAAAAGCACTTAGTTTTTTAAAAAGTTTATAAAAAATTTCTCAAAACCATACATGTAAAGATTTCTCCAACAACTCTTTAAGATCATTTGTATTGTTGCCTGTTTCTGCTAGATGTTGTGCTTGGCGATAATAATTAATTCCAAGATCACACCACGTATTAGATGTAGACATCAGTTTTAACGCACGGCCATAACACCTATGGAAATATAAAAATAAATGTAACGTTTTGTTAAAATGTCCTAATTCAAAATGAATGTCATTAACTAGCAATCTTTGTAAATTACCTTCCTCCAAGATGGAGAAGCTCATTCTTCTTTAATACTTGTTTTCCTTCTTTCTGACCTAGAAGGATTCCTAAAACATTAACGTTCACTTTAGATGGTGAGACAGCATACAGACTGGTACAAGCATCCCCAACTAGCTTCCAAAGGCAAGACACATCAGCTTGATGCTGCAGAGCCCTAAAAAAATAAACAGTGTGATTCTTATATTTTTTTCCAAACAATAGGAAATTTATCTCTCTCATTACAATCTTAATTACGAATTACTTCCTTGGTTAAGTGCAGTGAATGCTTTACTAAATTCTTTCTAAATGGATAACATCTTATCATCTCCCTATTAGGAAGCAGAAAGGAAGGGAGGGAAGGAAAACTGATTATTTTAAATGCCAGAAATTTTGCAAACATCTCTTTGGTACTCTTCATCATTTTTGTTAGAAGTAGCAGAAATCATATAATCAATATGTCAATAAATTTTCCAGGACCAATTCACCATTAAGACTGAACGTTTTTTAACTATGCTCTCTATATTTGTCTTTTTAAACAATAACCAAAGTAGTCAAGTTGGTAACTCTCTCACAGTTAATTATTCTAAACTCATGTTTTGGCTTGTTTATCTTCAGTCAAATAAAAAAGTCTGGTAAATGTATAATATATTAAATATATTTGGTGATTCAAAGGATTTTTATTCTCTGAGACCAAGATTACCTAAAAGCTAAATATGAAAACGTGAAAACCCATATTTATTGAAGCAAATAAAACTGCATGCACAAGCTTAAAAGAGTAAATAAAAAGGGTGCCTGGGTGGCTCAGTTGGTTAAGTGACTGCCTTCAGCTCAGGTCATGATCCTGGAGTCCCAGGATCGAGTCCCACATCAGGCTCCCTGCTCGGTAGGGAGTCTGCTTCTCCCTCTGACCTTCCTCCCTCTCATGCTCTCTTTCTACCATTCTCTCTCTCTCTCAATAAATAAATAAAATTCTTAAAAAAAAAAAGAGTAAATAAAAAAATCAATTATGGTAATAAAGGTCACTTCTTTTAGAATGAGAAAAATCTCAGCTATCCATTTCTCTTCAGTTTTCTCTCAAGATCTTATAAATAAACACGACAATTTCACTTAAGCCAAGTCTCAATAATCAGCTATGTTACTGGCAGATGGACAAGCAGATGGAACATTTCTCATAGCCTTTTCTACTAAAAGAGTCCAGCCAAAAATCATTTTCCAATATCTTCCTGAGAAATAAGATTAATTATGGCAGTCATCCCTGAAAGCCCACTGTGAGGATCAGGAGGTAGGACAACACTATTTGTAGTTCCTCTGCCTAAATATCTTAGCATAATTTCTAAAACTGACAGCATGATAGAGAGTATAATGCTAAGTGAAATAAGTCAGTCAGAGAAAGGCAAATACCATATGATCTTACTCATGTGAAATATAAGAAACAAAACAAACAAGCAAAGAAAAAAAAAGGCACAAACCAAGAGACAGACTATTAACTACAGAGAACAAACTGATGGTTACCAGAGGGGTGGTGGGTAGGGGAATGGGGAGATGGGTGGGGGGGGGGGGGCGGAATTAAAGAATACACTTGTAGTGGAAAAAAGGTAAAATAAAATAAAATAAAAATACCTAAAAATAAAAAATAAGGGGGCGCCTGGGTGGCTCAGTTGGTTAAACAACTGCCTTCAACTCAGGTCATGATCCTGGAGTCCCAGGATCGAGTCCCGCATCAGGCTCCCTGCTCAGCAGGGAGTCTGCTTCTCCCTCTGACCTTCCCCCCTCTCATGTGCTCTCTCTCTCTCATTCTCTCAAATAAATAAAATCTTTAAAAAAAAATAAAATAAAATTGACAGCATGAAAGAAGAAAACAGGGGGAAAAAAGAGAAACAGAGGCAATTCCAACAGCCTGAATTCTTATTTCCTTTAAAGTTCAATAAAAAAAATCTATAAAAGAACTTCTATCACCCTTACATAAGAATTGTAATAATACGAACTTTTAAGTCTAGAAGTAAACATAAATTTGGAGATTATCACTTGAAAAGTTTTATAGACCTCCATTTAGTTGGCCGTGAATGCTACAAGCTACCCAGAACAAAATTTCCCATTGTCAGAAAGGCTGTGTTTGTACCTCAAGTATCATCACTGAAAGGTTCACATTTACTCTTAAATACCAGTTCAAATGAAGCATGCCCTCTTCACAATACCCTCCTCTATTTGGAAAGATCTATATTATGTGAGACTTGAAAAGTAGCAATAAAAATCTGTGGGAGAGAAAAGGCTAAGGTTTTCTTTTCATATTTGGTTCATACTCAAAGAAAATCAATTCTGGAGCAACCAAATCAACAGGAACCAGAAGAGAAGGCAAGTAGGAAAAGAAAGGAAGGGGAGCACAAGAAAGACGTTTAAGAAAAAAAAAATTCAAATGTATGTGTAACAGACTTTTAAAAATCATCTAACAAATACTTCTATTTCGCTAGTGAATTTACAGTTCTATAAAATACCAGATTTACTCAAATTTTTCTGATTCCCTTAGTATTAGACATCACTTTTTTTCTTACACAGATTCTCTCCAGGAACAATGAGATTGCTCATTTCCCCTCATCTTCAGCCCTACCAATATACCTAAAACAGGCCCTTACCATGGAATGTAACACTGATACATTATATCCAAGCTGCCACTCCCCTGACAGACTGCTTCTTCCTTCCCACCCTTCCCCATTCATCCAGCATGTCAGCTGCTACAAGGAGCAAGAAACTGTCTGTTCTCCAATGCAAAATTAATACAATATGTATATTATTGAATTCATTGGCTAGTATCTTTATGTTTGATATTCTGAATAATGATTGCTTCATCTAACAGAATAAATGCAGAAAGATTTTCTAACCTCAGCTTTATTATAATTCTAAGATAATAAACACAATGAATAATAAGAATAATACTAACCAAGTAAAATATTCCAGTGCTTTTTCTATGTAGTCTACAGCTTTCCCATCAAGATAATCAACTAGAGCCGCTTTTGCCATCATGAGATGGCATTCACCCAAACCTAAAATCAGGTTAAGTTTATAGTTATTAAAACACACACAAGAAACACTTAGAATAAAGTTGATAAAAACGTAGTGATGTGATATTAAAGCCACTTTCCAGAAAACAAAACTCAGTAGTATTGTATAAAAATTATCTTTAAGTATGGTCTGGCATACATTTAGTCTGGAATTCAAATGGCAGGGTTCTGTTGGAATAAATATATACTAAAAGTGATAAAAATCTATGGAAAAGAATTTCCTTGACTTTGGGCAAGTTACTTAATTCAAAACCTCAGCTTTGAAAATGCTACTAAATGCTTTTCTCCTCCATATTACTATTTATTAACTATTGTGAAACAAGATTTGATCTTTTTATATTCAAAACTGGAGAGCAAACTACACTGCAAAAATTAAATGAAACAGCAATTTCCTAAAGATTTAATAAATGTGAATTCCTCTCTTGTGGAAAGTTTTACAAAATTTAAAAAAAAGTTTCCAAGACCTAAGTTATGTATCACTTATAACATATACTATTTCTGACTTAAACCCCAATTGTTTCACTTAAAAAAGAAAAAGAAATGGAGTAAAGGACATATAATGGGCTCCAGGTTTTTTAAAAATGGTTAGATATAATCATATAAAATTTAGATTATATATGGATGGTGGTGTTCTACTTTATATTACCAAAAATCTTTTGTTAAGGAGTAAGTATATACGGAGAAACTGAAATTAATTTAGGTATTACAAGACAATGTAAGTTGTCCCTAACATTCAAAAAATGAAAAACAATCTATAAGTTAAGAAGTAATTAAAAGGTATTGAGATATTCTGAAGATAAAGTGAATTAAGTATTAAAATATAAGAGCAGGGAAACTCTTGTTTTAGAGCTCCATTAAATAGCTACCATGCTATTCGATCTAAAAGTTAAATGTTTATCATATTACTATTTATTTATTGTTAGAAAACAAGATCTGCTCTTTCTATATTCAAATCTATATAACAAGTCATACTATAAGAAGTCCATGAAAGAAGACACTTGCTGTTGACTAAAGAAGTCCTTTTCAGGTTACGAAATGCATTTAGGAAGTTTACTAAAGGATTTTAGACTCCAGTATCACAAAAGTCAAGGAAGTATTAAAAAATTACCTTTCAAAGCCGGCACATAGTCTTCTTTCTTTTTAATGATCAGCTGGTATTGAGCTATCGCCTCCTTATATTTGCCTAGGATTTGCTGTATTGCAGCAACCTTAAACACACTGTATGTGGATTCTGGGTTCAGCTCACTGGCTTTTGTGAAGGATTTCAAGGCTGTTGTATAGCCACCTCTGCTTAAGTATGCCTCTCCTAGTGACTCCCAACAATTGAAGTCCTTTGGATCTGCCCTTAATGCTGCCTGTAAACTAAAATTTCAGTAAATAGTAAGAGAACTGAAAGTAAAAGAACTACTTCCACATCTGAAAAGAAAATATAAAATAAATAATTCAACTGAATCACATATATCCATAGTTCCTTCTAATTACGAAAGTGCTATTTAAAACAAGTGTAAGGGGGCAGCTGGGTGGCTCAGTCGGTTGAGTGACAACTCTTGATTTTGGCTCAGGTTATGATCTTGGGGTTGTGGGATTGAGCCCTGTCTTGGGCTCCACACTCAGCTGGAAGTCTGCTTCAGATTCTCTCTCTCTCTGACCCTCCCCACTCCCCTCATGCACACTCTCTCTCTCTCAAATAAATAAATCTGAAAAAAAATAAATAAATAAAGCAGATATACCTGTTCCTTTTACAACCTGAATATATTTTTTATAACTTGAATATTTTAATACTAAAAAATTTTATTACAAATTTGGAATGAATAAGAACAAAATATTTTTCAAACAAGCACTGGCCAGAATTTTTTTCCTTGACTATCTGGAAGAATGCCAGTTTCCCACCAAAATAGGTATATATCTCCAGATATGCCTCATGACAATTAATAATCCCCACTGATCCTTCCACCAAAACAGAAATATCACAGTATTCTAGGTATTGACCTAAATCAGAAACTTATTCTCCATTCAAATATATACATATATATATATTTGTTAATGTTTTCACAAATTAGAGGGAAAAAATAACTGCTACAACAATTTGTTAGGTTCAGAAAAAAGGTACTTTCTTTTCCTGTCTATAAAGAAAATATACAAGGCTTATAATTAATTGTGATCATTCACATTTAAGTATTCATTTTAAGTTTTCAGTGTGACTGTAGTAATAAATGAAATTTATCTCTTGTAGTATAACCAAAAAACTTTATATACAGACTGAAGTCTTATAAACTTAATTAAACTGAGGGATGCCTGGGTGGCTCAGTCGGTTGAGCGTCTGCCTTCGGCTCAGGTCATGATCCCAGAGTCCTGAGATCAAGTCCCGCTTCGGGCTCCCTGCTCAGCAGGGAGTCTGTGTCTCCCTCTGCCCCTCCCCCTGCTCATGCTCTCATTCACTCTCTCTCTCTCAAATAAATAAAATCTTTAAAAAAAACAATTAAATTGATAGAGAGATGCTATATTCTCATTACTAGGAAATGCCAAGGCTCTGTTACACTTCCTTGTAAACACAAAGTCTTTGTTTTTCATTTTTTTATATTGAAGTACAGCTGACATAAAATATTAGTTTCAGGTGTATAACATACTGATTTGAAATTTACTGACACTATGAAATGTTCACCATAGTAAGTGTAGTTGATAAGTGTAGTTACCACCTGTCACCAAAGTTATTACAACATGATTGACTATATTCCCTATGCTGTACTTTTCATCCCTGTGGACTTATTTATTTTACAATGGGAAGTCTGTACCACTTAATCCCCTTCACCTATCTTATTATTATTATGTGTTTATTATTATTAAATATATTTTATGTATTCTTTTTTTTTTAAAGTAAACTCTATGCCCACCATGGGGCTTAAGCTCACAACCTTGAGATCAAGTGTCGCATGCTCCACCAACTGAGCCAGTCAGGATCCCCTATTTCATTTATTAAGTATAGTTCAAACCAAGTAACTAAAAAGGAGCTGCACCACATGCACGTGAAGCTGGCAAATGTATCTCCTGCCCCAAAACAAAGCATGCCATTGGGAGAACAACAAAGGTATCAGCCTCAGCTTTTTAACATTCCTTAAGTTTCCACTGAGAACCTATTATATGTGTAACACTAGGAAGATTCACTTCGTTAGAATGGCCAACTCCTTAACAACTGGACAACATTTAATTCATTTTTGCAATTTCGGTGCCTTGCAGATAATAGGAACCAATCAACTATAAATAAATTTTGCTATTTCTTCTCTCAAAATATAACCTGGAATGAGGCAACTTGTAAAGTCCACTTTGGGTATAAATAGAGTTTAATTTAAGGAACCAATACACTAATAGTTTAAATATACTAAGGTGTCTTACTCAGCCACAGCTTGAGAATGTTGACCAGCTTTCAAATAGTACAGTCCTCGCCTAAGCCAGGCCCATTTTGCCGTTCCAGCACCTGCCTTTTGAGTTACTGTTGTTAGGGTGGCTAAGGCAGTTTCCTGAAATTAATAAAAGACTAATATTAGACATCTCAAATATCATAAAAATACACAACACCTATGTAAAGTACCCAAATGTATTTTCATTTACCACTTCCTAATTTTTAAACTTACACTGGTATATACTCAACTACAGTTTCAAAAGTAAGTGATGAGTAATGTAATGTCTGCCAATGAAAAGAAAATTTACTCCATAAACAGTGGCAAAAATATTTCTATTGCATCTACAAAGAAAAAAAAAAATAAAAACTTTCAAGGACACACATATAAAAATATTTCTATTTCTATACCCAGGATAAAAAGGCAAAAGTGTTTAAGTTACTGGACATACCATCTCTTCAAGTTCCACACTTAAGTCAACTGCCGCAGCTCCAGATTCAGCATCAGTATCATCTAACTCAAAAGCTTTCCTGTAACAGCCACGGGCTCTGTTTTTATCTCCTACCACATCTCTGTAGTAATGACCTAAATAGCAGAAAACTTTGCCCATGTATGTATCCAGTCTGGCAGCCTTTGAGATAAAGATTGATAGTAACACGATATTAAAGTTTGTCTGTGAGGTTCTTTTTAAAAACACAGAAGATAAGTACACAGGTTAAAAGAAAAATAGAACACTTTTGTTAAACATACAAAAATATGCCAACACATCCCTTAATGTAAGATTTAAAGCAACAGGAAAGCTGGATGTCACTGCTTATAGAATGCAAACAAGTGTAAAAATATTATTTCTTTGTTAAAAAGAAATGTGAAATTAGAGTTATTATTACACTAACCTTCTTTTATGCATCAAGATAAGCATGTAAGACTTTTAGATCTTTAACATCTAAATATAAGAAATTCAGGGCGCCTGGGTGGCTCAGTCATTAAGCATCTGCCTTCGGCTCAGGTCATGATCCCAGGGTCCTGGGATCGAGCCACTTCTCCCTCTCCCTCTGCCTGCTACTCTGCCTACTTGTGCTCTCTCTCTCTATGTCAAATAAATAAATAAAATCGTTAAATAAATAAAATAAACTATAAGAAATTAAACATCTAGAAGTATATATGCCCACATTACAGTGGAAATTACCTAAAAACAATATTTTTCTCCAAAGATAATTATGTCTCATCTTCTATAATGTGTGTTTCTGAAATAAGTAACTTTTACATTTTTTATTTTCTCCTTGAAAATCCACATAACATTCTCACAAAACCTAATGTGTAAGAGATGAAACACCATAAAAAGTCCAGTTAAAAAACAAAAACAAAAACAAAAAAAAGTTCAGGGGTGCCTAGGTGGCGTAGCTGGTTAAGCGTCTGACTCCTGGTTTCGGCTCAGGTCAAGATCTCATGGTTGTGAGACGGAGCCCCACATCGGGCTCTGCACTGAGTATGAAGCCTGCTTAAATTCTCTCACCCTCTCCCTCTGTCCCTCCCACTTATGCTCTCACTATCTCTCTAAAATAAATAAATTAAAAAAAAAAGAAAAACAGTTCAGAAAACAGTAATTGTAAGTGCCTAACTTATATGATTATTATTTATGATTTTATTACAAATCCATTTCAACTAAGTATTGAACAGTAGCACTTGTTTTACCTTTAGAAAGTGGGTAAGAGCCTTTGTTTTATCTTTTCTTGTTTCTTCATCCATGAACCAATATGTTAACCCAAGTTGGTAATGATATTCAGCAACTTCAGCATCTTTCTCAAGAGCTCTCTGAAAACTAAGTCAGCAAAGGAAGTAAAAAGATACATAGAACACACACACACACACACAATGTAGGAAACTCCTAGTTGAGTCAAAGTTTAAGTGATTCAAAGATGCTAAATCAGATATAAGTTATTACTTTAGAATTTAGATTATAATGAGAAAAAAATACTATTTGAAGAGGAGCTTATAAAAACACAACAGCCTTTTAGCTTTACCAGTGTGCTAAGCATTTAGGAGGACACATCAAACATTGTATCTACTCACTGACCATTATGATCAGCTAGTTAAATTTCATACCCATTATGGAATTTTCTTACAGGTACTGTGCTACATGTTAAACATTTCTTAAAAATACTAACGCTTACACAGATCAAATTTATACAAAACAGAACTTTATCAAACCTACTCATTTTGAATTTTTGAGAAACATAATAAATTAAGATATGACTACACCTATAAGCAACCTAAACATATTCTTACCATTTCTCTGCTTGTAGATAGTCCTTTTTGGTAAAATGAATTAAAGCCTCCAGGGCATGAACTTCAGCTAGGTCAGGGTAAGAAGAGAGAAGGTCTTCCATAATCTATAAAGTAGATATCTGTCAATTCTTTATCCAAATTAAGTCACTTGTAGCTTAAAAAAATTCCCAATTTGGGGAACCTAGGTGCCTCAGTTATTTAAGCATCTGACTCTTGATTTCGGCTCAGGGCATGACCTCAAGGTTGTGAGATGGAGCCCCATGTCAGGCTCTGTGCTGGGAGTGGGCCTGCTTGAGATTCTCTCTCCTCTCCCTCTGCCCCTCCCCCACCCCACCAAAAAATTCCCAGTTTGAATGAAAAAAAACAACCTTTGAAGCTTCATCTAATGAGCCTTTGTTCAGATAGGCCAAGCTTTTAAGAACCAAAAGTCCTGGGATATTATTTGCATCAGAAACCTAGAAAATAATTGTAAAGAAATTAAGTCTCTTTCAACACAGAACAGCAATGTTTACTTTAATTAAGGAATGACCATAAAAGAGCATGGAGTAAAGACATACAGGTCCTGATTTTTATCACTATGAATACATTCATTCTTTGTAACCTTTTTATTAGAGAAAATTTCAAAAACATTTCAAAAAATTAGAACAGTACAATAATCCCACATGTACTCATTATCCAGCTTCTAAATTATTAATTCAAAATCAATCTTTTCTCATCCATACCTCTCTACCCATTTCACTATACTCCTGCTTAGATTATCCCAGCTATTATAACTTTTCATCTGATACTTTAGCATATATATCTAAAAAGTTCATTTTTATATAACATAATTGTACTGTCCATGGTAGTTCCTAAGCCTTTCTAATAGAATTCTAGTAGGCTTTGATAGTTTCCTTGCTTTCTAGCATTCTAAGATGTCCTGGGCTCATCCTATACATTTTCTGTTTCAGACCTGGACTTCATCAGCTCTCTAAGAAACTTTTCTTTTTGTGTGTGTGTGGAAAAAAAAAAAAAAAATTGGAAAGACCTCCTCAAAGCATTCACACAAAATACATTACTGGTAGAAGGCAAGTAGAAAATAAGAAATTAAGATATTAGTTCTTGAAGAATGCTGACAACTGTTCTAATTTTAATGAAATATTATGAAATGCAAAGCCCTTTGAAATATACAAAACAATATTTTAAAAAAATTCAAAACCCCACAATAAACTGAGTGATATAATTTTAATTTTAGATTAAAAAAAATGGCCTTTATCTGACAAAAATCTGTAAAAGCACCATGTTGTTATAATTCATAATTTACTATTTTTTTGCCAGGGATTTTCAAATTGCTTGAACCAAAAACATTAAGAAACAGGATTCCTTCTTAAATATCAATCTCCTTCTGTTTTATTAAACTGAAAAACAAATAAACAATACTGTCTACTATGAAGCTACTGTGTCCTTCATTGTTCTTATCAATAATCTATGAACTCTTTATTGAAGGAAAAATTTAGAATCCCAAATTAATAATAATTAAGTAGTAATAGCCTAAGAGGGCAAAAAGAGAAAAGGAGAATAAGAACAAGACTAAAGAAAGAAATTGCATCATATGAAGAATATTGTAAGTACTTAACCAAAAGGCAAATAACTTCAGTAGTTTCCAAGTGCGTGAATGATTTAGAAAATGCAGATGTGGTGAATTCATATCTCTAATGCAAAATCTGTTTAAAAGCAAATACTTGTAAGGAGAGAGTGGTTGATGCCTGGTTGACTGGAAAAAATTAAGTTGAAGGGAAAAACCTGGTAAGACTACCTGATCAAGAGTACAAATTGCTTCCACTGAAGATTCATAATCTGAGAGTTTAATCAAAGCCTCTGCTTTCAAACGGAGACAAAGATTCTTCTGATGAAGACTGCCACCAGACACACCAAGATTATCTATGTTCTTCAGAGCTGACAAAATTAAGGACATCTGAATGAAGACAACCATATTACTTCATTTTTTTCTTCTTGTGAACGGTGATAAATAATAAATTGGAGATACAATAAGAATAAATTGCCAAAATAATATACATGAAGAATAATTCAGAGCCAAATATAAATTCTTCCCTGAATTCTTTATGGAAATCTCTGCATTTAAAAAAAAAAAAAACAAAACAGACCTAAATTTAAAATCTCTATCTTTACGTAACATAACATGAACATCCCGAAATACAATGGCTATCTATATCTGCTATGTAACAAAGGTTAGCCAAAGCATCAGTAAAAAACCTAGCAAATGAGGGATACTGAGGGAAAGTAAGTTGAATTCAAATGGACCAGGGTGAACTGTTTCTCAACTACAGAGGCTAGGCTACCAGCTAGGTCAAGAGCAGTGAACCACTCTTATGATTTCCTATCCCCTCATGTGACCCATCTGATCACATTCAAATAGGCTCCATATGCCTAAGACTTCTCTTATTTATATCAGAGGAATCAAAAATTCCTGAAGTCCTGGACGCACCAGAAACTTCCCTGTTAAAAGACAGAGCACCTCCACACAAGCCTAAACTGACTGTCAAAATTCCAAATGCAGGGATCCTTTGAAAAACACTCATTGTTAGTTTAAAAGAAAACACACTACATGCATATACACTTGGCATTACTTAACCACCTCAATGAAATTTAAATTAGTAACTTAAAATACAAAATAAAGCATATAAATTTCTTTAAATCACTATCTTTTTCTCCTTTAATATGAAAAGATATAGGGTTGGCCACCCTTACAGATGTCAGGAATACCTTGATTGCATGAAAGAACAGCTTCCTTAGGTCTATGCATTTTAACTTGGGCTTCTGCCAGATGATACCATCCAGTTGTGCACAGAGGGCTTTCCTTTAACCCTAAAAGGAAAAAAGCAATCACAAAATCCAAGCTTTCTATGACTACCAAGAAAAATGGCAACACCATCTACTCCCCAAATCAGATCCCTTCTTTCCCTTGTTGCTCATATATAATTATTCAGAACACTGATTCCACGCCCCAATCATTTCTCTACCACCACTACTTCAGCTCCCATTTCCACCATCTTTATCCCAGATCACTGCAGGGGCTTGCCACCCACTCCAATTCATTCTCTACACTGTAGACAGAATAGCTGTACAAATACAAATGGAGTTATGAAACTCCCCTGCTTAAAACCTTCCACAAGTTCCTGGCTGCCCTTAGGATAACACGCAAACTCCTTCACAAAGGGTGCAAGGCCCCTCTCCAGTCTCCTCTCTTGACTCTTACATCTTGTTGAACTGCCATGAATTCCAGCTGTGCTCTCAGTCTCAGGCTATTTCACCTCTTGGCTTGAAATGCTCTTCCCGCCCTAAGCTTGTATTTGTTATTCAGATATCTATGTGAATACAAGTTCATCCTGAAACATCATACCTAACAAAACTAAGGTAAAGATTCCTAAGGATGGGGGGGAATACATATATATATATCTATATAATTATACTTATTTTACAAATGAAAACATTGAGACAGAGAATTAATTACTTTTCTCAAGGTCTTGAAATTAGTGAGTGGCAGAGTTGGAATCCAGACCTAAGCAGACGCTAGAGTGTATATTTTTTCACTTCTATTTTAAATACACATTCCTCAAAGAAAGGCCCAAAGATAACTGCCTATTGACTATGTTAGCTAGGATATAAGGAGGAATTATTCAGATTAGAGGGCTGAAAGTTATGAGCAGAAGAGAAGGGAAGGGACAAAAAGGGAAGGGAAGGAATGTGTTCTGTTTCACACAACCAGCAGAGCCTACCCAGGAACCTGCTAGGATAGCCTCTTGCATGAGCCAGTCTGAGACACTTTGGAGCTGAGGGCCTATATCAAAGCCCATCTGAGTGATCCTGAAGTTACCGTTAGCTCATTATAATACTAAGATTTATTGCTATGGATGGGGTTTTCGGCCATTTTTGGAACGTACATTGTATGCACTAGCATGCTGACATGCTAGGCATCTGTAGCTCAACCAAAGTGCCTAATTAATAGCATATGGACTCATTATATTTGAAAATGAAGCATGGGAGCAGGAAAGGGCAAGAAATCAGACTCGGGAGGGTTGCAAACCTTGCGAAGAGTTTCCATGTTATCCTAAGGGCAGCTGAAAACCCATGGAAGGTTTTAAGCAGGGGAAGAGAATATGTATATATTAAGTTTCTTAATGTACACACCAGCTCTCTACCCCTGCCCCCTAATGCACTGAATAAAAGTTTCCTGTACTAACCCCACAGGAAGACACTGCCTTACGGGCTATTTCCCTGTCTTCTTACTTGCCATTACTTACTTGGAAATGTTGTTTCAACACTTCCTTGGGTTGTGTTCAATTTAATGCACCCCAAGCAGTGATACCCCTGAGTTTGGTTACAACTATACCTCATATTACATGCTCTACATTGTACACTTACCTTCTGTTAGGTTCCTAACAGCATCTTCATACTTTTTGTCTTGTAATGCTTTAATGCCTAAACCAATGAAGCCTGGACCACTTTTGGAATCCATTTCCACTAGTCTGGAAAAATACTGCTGTCCTTCATCAGTAAGACTGCCTGGAATTAAAAAGAAAAGTTATTAGCATACATACTCCAAATTTCCAATTGCCAAAACATACATACTTCAAGCTCAAATGCTGTCTTACACATCCTCCACCATATCCTGACTCCAGGAATTCAAAACTTAAATAGACCAACAATACCAAAAAATATTAACATATCATTAAAAAAATTATGCTTCTTCATCTTCTTAAATATTGGAAGTAGAAACCACTTTACCCACTGCAGTATGGGGGTAAACTGAACCTGAAGTCATACTCAAGGGTTTCAAACAAGAAACCTACTCCTACTTGCTACTACGCTAGGACACACAGCCTCCCGCTTGCCAGCTCTCCTTTTCCTATTCCACAGTAACTTCACTAATCTCTCTCCTTGGGCAACCATGTGCTGCTAGACATGTGCCAGCCAGGATGCCAAATCGAGTGGATTCTTCCAGAATCCTACGACTAAAAGACAGACTATTTGTGAAGATACTATACAAAAACTTAGTCACATTTTTCTTAGGTTTACAAGTTCAGCAGTACATTTCTGCCTTCTTTCAAAAACTTTCTTTTCCTATATAAGTTAATGGTTAAATCTATGTAATAGTCATCCAATGCCTACATTTGTTCCAAATTTATTTTGGTAAAATAATTTAGTTTAGAAAACACTATTTATTTTGTTATATTTCCATTTTTTCCAAGCTCCATCTCAGGATTTCCATTCCCAGAAAAGCATAAAAACAAGCAGAAAATATGATTTCTGCTTTGAGAATAAACTGTGAAGAGTACTCAGCACTTCAATAAATTGCTTAACCATATAAGAAAATTCTTAAAAACTAAGACAAACTACAACTTGAAGCAATAAATATGGGGAACAAATAAAAATAGTTTGTTTGAGGAATGCCTGGGTGGCTCAGTCGGTTAAGCCTCTGCCTTCGGCTCAGGTTATGATCCCAGGCTCCTGGGATCGAGTCCCACGTCGGGCTCCTTGCTCAGCGGGGAGTCTGCTTCTCCCTCTGCCTGCCACACTCCCTGTGCTTGTGCTCTCTCTCTCCCCCTCCCTCTCTCCCTGACAAATAAATAAAAATCTTTGAAAAAAAATAATAATTTGTTTGAAAAAGCAGCTTGATGCTTTACTATCTATATAAAACGTATGCCCCCAGACCACATGTGGAGTCACTCTATCAGTCTCAGATGTCAAAGATAAACCCCTGGCATGTTACCATTTATTTTATATATTTCAAATTTTTCAAAACCATATACACACCATAATCCATGATATTATACATTGATTTAGAAGTCCAAGTTAGTACCAAAAATTCAAAAAATTCTTAACGGCTAAAGAATTAAAACTTCAATACTGTTTGGTGAGATATGAAAACAAAGTGGAAGAAATACTACTTTTTTAGTTATCCAATAAAAAAGACCTGAGCCAGCTATTATTATCCTTCTAGACATGAATTTCCTTCTGTCTAAACCTCTTCTCACTATGGTTCCATAAATGTAATTTCCAAAAGCAGACGTACCTAGTTTCATACACATTCCTCCTCCCAAGCAAACCAGTGGGTTTTTTTTCCCTCCCCTTTTCAACCAGTGGTATTATCTAGACATCAGAATCACCTGGAGAATGCTAACGCCCCGCCCCTCAAAGTTTCTGATTTCAATGTTAGACCTAAAAGCTGGCACTTCTAACAAGTTCTCAGGTGATACTGATGCTACAAGTTCAGAGACCATACTTTAGAACCACAGGCCTATAGTATTTACCAACACCATATACCACCTTTACTGTCAGTCTTATATATATACTACAGTTGCTACCTCTATAGCTCAACAGTAACTTCTGGAGGGTAGGAACTAGTATGGTATCCTGTACACATTAGGCATCCATTAAATACTGTAATGATCCTTTAAGAATACCATTACGAATTAATGTACCAAAAGGCTTAGTCTGTTAATAAGTAATGGCTGAGAATTACTACGGAAAATTAAAAATCACCATTCTAAAAAAGAAAGTAAAACGGCTATTAAAATTTTACCTTCAATTTCTAGCCATCCCAGTCAAAACTATCTTACTCCATAGAAACGTAATTCATGAGAGTACCTTGGCTACATAAACTGCCCTTATTATAAAAAACACACCTGTGATGGAAAGAAAAGCCAATCATGCATCATCCCAATGATTATCCATATGCATGGTACCTAAAAACGTACACAAGTAAACAAAATGTGGGTAGGCAGATGAAAACTGTTTGTAAAAGGCTAAGATGAACATGAAAAACTTCTAAATAAGATAAATCTTCCTTAATATCTGGGAGCACAATTACAGAAACCAAGAGATTTAGGGAGACTATGTTCTAGCCCTTGGGAAACATACTCTCTACGTATGACCAAGAACAAATGACACTTAGAGGAATCTCCTCTGGTGTTCCCAAAAACTATCAACAGTAGTAACAACATCACTGATGCTTTGTAGAGACAAGGGATATTCCAAAGCTTCAGCTCTTAATCCTCTTCTCCATACTAACTCTTGCTGAGAATACTAGCTAAATAATATGTGGAGGATAGAAACAGAGAGGGAATACACTTGATTTCTTTCTGAATAGAAAATCATTTCTTTAACTTATCCGCTCTTTTTAACATTTAAAAGAGTCTAAGATTCCAGGCTTAACAACTTTAAAACAAATTTGACAATATTATTTTTATTTCTCAATAAGGCAAGCTAGATTTGGGGCTGATGAATGCTAAATCTCTAAGAATAAAAGGCGTTCTGAAGAGATTCAGGGTAGATGCCAAATAATACCTATAAGAATTCTGTTTCCTAAGCTTTACCACACACACAAAAAGGTGACTTTTAAAAATAACTAATTAATTGCTGACATCACAAAGAAATTGATCACTACTATAGAATTTTTCTTTTAAATAAACGTAGCTTGGGAAAAAAAAACAAAATGGCATGTATTCATTTCTTTATTTTCATCTGAATTTTCTAATATTTCCAGAGCACAAAATCTTAAGCTCTTTCATGTTTAAATGTGAAGATCCAAGCTTTCTTATCCTCCCCTATTTCAACTATAAAGCAAAATAAAATAAACCGAAAAGGTCATTTAGCATGAAATAACATTTCATCAGCTGACAACTGTGAAAGCTATTCACTACTTGTCATGTGAAGCTTTATAAACTGAATCATTTTGCAAATGAATCTTCAAGTCTCAACATGCAGAGGACAAAAGAGAATGAAACACATTTGTCCCCAGTGGAAGAGAACCCAGTGATTAATTGCTGTGAAGTAACAAATTCCGCAGATACTAAAGCACGCTGGGGGAGGATAGGTCAGCCTTTAAATACCTTATAGTTTCAGAAGTTCTTCATACACAGAAAGTTTGGTTTAGAGGAGCAATGAAAAGAAAACAAGAAATCATTAAGCACAGCTTCCTACTGTCTGGCATTAACTATTAAACGTTTACCCCCAGAATAATGCTTTACCTTAGAAAGTACCTAAGCCTGAATGGCTCCATCCCACAGATTCTCACAACCAATGATTCTACAGAGAAAAAACTCTTCCTTGGTGTACCATGTATGTAAATATCCACCTACTCACTCCCCTTTACCAGGAATATAAGCCTTTCCTTCTTTCAATTCTGCAAAATAACCTCTCCAGGAATGATTTTTTTTTTTCATATAAACCAACACACTCTCTAATCATTCAGCATAACCACTTGCTATCTCTTTATTCTAGAACACTTTGTCAAATACTGAATTTATGTGCACAACTCTATAGACTTTGTTGATTTAATTTCTTCTATAATTTTGGTTTTTTTTTTAATATAGGGGCCATGCTTATTTCACAAATCCACGTTATAGGCATACATGTACTTATTGAAAAAGCATTCAATCAGTCATCAAAAAGAAATTTCAAGTATTCTCTTGCGTCATTTGGCATGTGACAAGGTCAAGAATGAGGGAATAGCACCAAAAACTAATGATGTAATATATGGTGATTAACATAACAATAAAAAAATAAAAAAAAAAAGAATGAGGGAATAGTACAAATCATTAATAGCCAAAAGAAAATAGAGAAAAAGAGGGTGAACAGCAGCCACTGGTTTCTCAGTAGCAATTGTAATAGCAGAAAAAGGGTGGAGGAATGGGTACCAGAGACCAATTACAAAATCAGCCCACTTATCTTGGAAATGTATTAGGACTCATGTTAAAATTTAAAGAAACTAGGTGAATTCTGGAACTGTTCCCTGTCAATGGGGGGGAAAAAAAACACAAAAATTCACAAGCATGCTCCTCATATTGAAAGTCTCTTGCTATGTCTCCTCCTCCTTGACCTCAAAGCAAAGTTCACAATGTTAACTAGCCCTCTCTTCCTGAACCTCTCCTCCCAGGCAACACTACCGCAATTCTTCTCCTGCTCCTCTAAAAGTTTACCAACCCCTTTGCATGCTTCCTCCTCCTCTCAAATGTAGTCAGCCAAATCCCTAGACTATTTCTTTTAATATCTGCTAACCACTTCTTCCTACTCTTTTCCAACCATTGAAATCTAAGTTTCAATTCAATCACTTTGGTGGGAAAAGATAGCCCTAAATAAAAACCTCCTAATCATAAAGTTAGTTGCTCAATCTTCAGTACAGATCTCCTTTCTGAAATGTTCTTTCTTGCCTTCTCTGTTGCTTCACATCGTGTTCTACCAACTTCCTGTCGGACCTCTCTGCTTCTGTTTTCTACTTTTCTCTTTCCCTCCCTTTCCCTTCAAGCCAGCCAGCACCACCCAAGACATAGTTTTCAGCTTTTTGCTCTTTAGTCATCCTCTGAAGTCATCCACTCCACTTCACTTTGGTGATTTCCAAACCTTATGTCTAGCCTTAGGATTGATCTCTCATCTGCAAGCCAGATGGGCATTTCCCTCTGAATGTCCATTAACCTGTCCTCTCCACAACTCAACTTTCTTACAGATGATCATTCCACATTAGGCCAACTTTTCAAGAGAGCTAAAAGTAAAATTATTTTCTCCCTCCCTTTATAGCTTAACAAATCTATTTTTTTCATTCACCTGTTACTTTCTATTGCCCCTATCATAGTCCCAGTTCATTCATTCTCAAGATCATTTAGTCTACCCAATCTAGTCTACCTTCTATACAATCTATCCCACATATATTATTAGTTTGACTTTATACTTCATAAATTGATTCACTACAACATTTCTTCTCTCACATTAGTGAAAAGTACTCTTACAAGTCCATCTCTGACTCAGCTAAAGCAAAGGGGATCACTTACTTTTCACCAAAGAAATACAACACTTAAGATAATAGTTCTGAATTTTAATTCAGACAACGGGGCGGCGGGGGGGTGGTTGGGGAATACAAGTAGGACTTACAAGGGAAAGTTGAAGTGGGGAGAGCCAAGATAGATGCGATGATACTCTTTCAAAAGGCATTTTCCCTCAGTTACCTCTATCACTAGTTTTCAACAATTCTTCTATAATGACACCTGTGATGGTCATTCACATACAAAGCACTCCCAGGTGTATACTCATTTAGCAACAAAATGAAAACAATTAAATTAGTAAAACTATGCAAATTTTATAATCACTGACACATTGGTGCTGGTACTGTTATTTCTATTTCAGTGACTGATTTCTGTGAACTTTGCTCATCAGCTGAATACAGGCACAGACAGGAATGACGGTTAAATTATGTAAAAATCTATTCAGCACAGATACCGACAAACAGGACAGAGGCTGGTGTGAAAACCCACTGGGTCAACCTGTAAACTGACTGAACACCAGCCCTGGGCACGAGACATCCGCAGGCACGGGTTCCTGCAACTTCCAGCATGTTGGCTATCATCAGCTCTCTCTCCCCCACCCCAAGAAAGGAAACAAAGAAGAGCACGAGGGGCGCCTGGGTGGCTCAGTCCTTAAGCGTCTGCCTTCGGCTCAGGTCATGATCCCAGGGTCTTGGGATCTAGCCCCGCATCGGGCTCCCTGCTCAGCGGGAAGCCTGCTTCTCCCTCTCCCACTCCCCCTGCTTGTGTTTCCTCTCTCGCTCTGTCTCTCTCTGTCAAATAAATAAATAAAAATCTTTAAAAAAAAAAAAAAGAAGAGCACGAGGCATAAGCTAAGACATACTCTATGACTTGAATCTTCTCTATTTCATTAAAAAAGGAGATCATACACAAGCTTCATTACTTTATAGTATTATAACATCTATAACCATGTACTTGTGACACTAAAACATCAGCGCTGAGAATGTATGACATTCATAGCCCTAGGCAATATAGTCCAATCTACTCAACCAAAATCTATCTTAGTTTCCTTCCACTAGAGCAAATAAAACTATTTTAGTATTCCTAAAAATTGCAACCTAGCTCCATACTTCTGCTCATGCCATCTAGAGTACTTTTCACCTCCTCCTATATATCGGATTTCTATGGAAAATTTAAGACTCACTTCAACTCCCACCTTCCGAAAGACTTCACTGATCAACAATGAACTCAGTAGTTCATAATTCCTTTGTATCATTATACTCTCCTACATTTATTAGCCTCTTCATGTGCACAAAGACAACACACTGTACTTCCTTTTACGTCCAGAAATATTCAAACAATACCTTACACAGGGTAAGCACTGAAACAATTTTTGATTGATAGCAGCAACACTCCCACATGTTCATACACTTCTAGAACACACAATATAATAGGGAAGAAATTACCTGATTCAATTAAATGCAAACAAAGCACTTCTAGTGGATATTGTACAGTGGGATAGATGTTTATCATTCCTTCACAGGCTTTCTTCAATCTAGCAGTCTCATGAGGAAACTTGAAAATATAAAAGTAAAATAAACTAAGTCATAGTAAAATACGCTTGTGAATACTTTCCTAATTAGAATATAAAAGTCACATTAGAGATTTTTAAAATCAACTTACTTTGGATAAACAGTGAATGAAATGTCTATAAAGTACTTGGTGATCTTCACTAGGAATCTTATCTGATAAGTCCAGTGCATTCTCAAAAGCAGTTAAAAGCTGAACAAACAAAAAAGCTATCATTGTTAGCATAGTGAAATGACAAATGTAATAAACAGTTGAAGGTAGAAGACTCATACAATATACCACCTCAACTAACGAACTGCAAATGTATTTTATTGTCTCATATTTTCCTATATCTTCTGGCCCTGACAATTTCAATGAGGAAAAAAAATGTCTATGCAAGTTTTAGAATATGTCTAACTCCACCTGGCCAGGAGACTGCACTGAACTAATGAGGGATAAATATAAATTAGCATCATGAATTTAACAAAACATTCTTTAAGTGCTTGCTGTTCCCTATAAAGTAGTCAACTGGAGAGGTATAGTCTTCTTTATATACCAGTGTAACTGCAACTATTCAGATCATTTTTAAAACATCTCTACTGAAATCACCAGTATGTTCCTTGGAACATTTTCAATGGTCACAAATCTTCAATCTTAAATAAATTTGTAAAGTTATACTTATGTCAAAAGAAAACCAGAACTATGACTGAACTATAATAAAATCACTTCTTATCCAGTATTACTAAATGACTTTGAAGAAAATTCCATAAGAAGCTTTCTAAATATGTTTTGAGCAAGAACAATACTAGAATCCAGATCAAGCACTTTAAAGGATACCATTCATATAGTTACATAAGTTCCACCTTTTTTTTAAATGAATTTCCATGACTTTACTTTTTTATTTTTATTTTTTAAAGTAGGCTCCACGCCCAGTGGGACATGAACTCATGACCCTGATATCAAGACCTTAGCTGAGATCAAAAGTCATATGTTTAAATGACTGAGCCACCCATGAGCCCCTCCATGACTTAAATGAAAAAGTCTCAACACTGTTCACTACCTCCAAATTTCTTTGTGAAGTATGGTATAAAGTCTACATAAATAGGGAAAATTTTACTCCTCTGATAAAGTTAATAGTCTTGCAAAAAGGGAAGTCTAACTTATACAGTTTAGCACAAGAGGTTTCAAAAAAAAGTAATGCAATTAATCCTTTTGGAAAACAGGTGATAACATTTTTTTCTGAACACACTTAAATAAGCAAAATTATCATTAGAATTCAAGATGAAAATAACCCCACCCCGAAATCCTCTTATCCTATTTAACAGTTAAACATCAATTCTTAAAAGGATGACAAGCATAATTAGTTCTCTTTCATGGAGGAGCATAGTACAGATAAATTCAAGAAAAAAACGATTTTACTTATTTTGGTATTTGGTGTATGTTTGATATTTTGGTAACCTATAGTTTTTCAAGGAAAGCCATAATGAAGCCATAATATGAAGATATGATTTAAGAGAAGTTCACAGATCATCTAAGTTTGTCACTCCTCAATTTTTTCCCACAACTAAATCTATACACAGATAAACCAACACACAAACAAATGCAAATTATAGTCTTCTATTTTTATCTCCAGCATTTAGGACACTGCCTGACATATATAGTAGATTCTTTATAAAATAAATATATTCTGAAAAAAGGATTAAGGAGTAAATGAACAAACATACAAAGAAATGAACTTCTCATCCTATATTCAGTCTATAATTGCTTACATTTAAAAAGTCCATTCAAATTTCACAAGTATACACTGATGGCTATGTACGATAATAAGAAATTAAGTTTACTTTTAAGCTTAACAAATATAAAAAAGTAGAATGGAGATTTTTCCAATTACAGTTCAAAATCAATGGACTGTTTTAGTCTCTTTATAAAAATTCTTTTCCATTGCTTCAAAATCTATACACTAAAATGGAATATTTCTAGACATAAGTACCCTAAATACTTTAAACAAAATACTGAGTTGTTAAACCTCAAAGTAATTTAGTACTCTTTCTTCATAAACATAAAGAAACACACTTTTAAACAAACCTTTAAGTAAGTACAACTTTATAGAAATTACAGCAGTTTTGTGAAAGCCAATTTCACAGTTTCTTTTTCACGGTGATTAAGTAACTGATTTACTGTGGATTCTTATGAACACAAGGAAGTAAACTGTGATACCCTGAACACCAAGTCCACTCTGTCCAGACTTAATACGAGACTGCAGGCCAGTAATTTTGACTGTATCAGCAAGAACCTCTCTGAATTTAAAACTGAACACTTATAAAATATCAATTTTGACGTATGGTACTTTCTTATTTTACACCATTATGTTTCCATTTGCTAAATTCAATTAAATGATTAATCTTCATGACACAAACTGTAGGGAATAAAGGGGTCAATACCAATTGCTGGGTCTCATTATTTTGATCCTCAGTACTCTCAGCCAGCAACTGAGTCAATTTCCTCCATAGCTGATGAAGCTCTTGGTTGTCTGCACCTTCCTCCTGCCGTGTCTTTATCAGTTTGTGCCATGTTCGGGCCACCTATCAAGAAGGAGATTTAAATGTTTTTTAATTAATCTTAAATATCAAAAATGCCAATTAAAAATATAAAATCTACAAATAAAAATATTTTTCATTTGCTAATACGTAAAAATAGCAAAAGCACAGAACTTCATCTATTATGAATTCCCCAAGAAATAGGTGACTGGGCAAATCCACACAGCCCCTATATTAGAAGTACAACTAAGATACCAGAGTGGAAACAGGAATAATGGCTACATACCCCAATCCTTGTAACTCATAGCATCAGCTATGGATGCACCACAAATGCATCACTAAATTCTACAGATGATGCTTTTACTTATTTTATTTATCCCTGCCCAGTTGCAAAAAGGTTTGGAAGTTAGAATAACTAAAACTTGAATTTTAATTTAGTTTCAAAACACTATTATTTGTAATATCTCTCTATATTCTTTTAACACCATACTTACATATTAATTTTTTTTAATTTTCCCTTAAGCTAAATGAAAGCTTTCTTCTAATAATGCCTTTAGTAAAAGAAGTCTACTACCCCAGCAAATCATTAACCAACCTCTATGTGTTTCTTTTCTTGGTAATATAGATCCACAAGTTTCTTACAGACATCGCACCACTTCTGTTTGTCAACACTTAGAATAAAAAATTAAAAAAAAAGGGGATTTTGAATCGATTAATGAAAACAACCAAGGGCTTAAGATACTAACATTAAAATATCCCAATAATACTACTGTCAGGTACTATTTTAAATTAGAACATATCCTCTTTCATACCACAGGAAAATTTTATAAAATAAGCCTCTCATTAAAAAAGAAAAGGTTTAAGAAATAATATCTTCCATTATATTAACTGAAAATTCTATCAAAGTTCCCAAATTAGTCAATCCTCTTACTAATAGTGTTTTGATTCTGTTTCAATCACAATCAAAAGATTCTGTAACAATGGTATGAAAGAAAAATGCTTCTCAATTCCCAGTAAATGTTTGGAGTACTTCTGTGTAAGTTTTAAATTATTTGAATTATTTAAATTATTTGAATTAAAGCTTTTAAAGACACTGGCCTTTCCCCATACAATGATCACCTTTCATAAAGATCCAGGAGCTTCTGGTAAACACCAGGTAAGTCATCCTTAGCATTTATGTGATTACATTTCTCATACAAGCTTGCTAACCCCTAAAACAGGAAACAGTAGAGATTATTCTTCTAAAAAGTTTAATGCTCTCACATTCATTTTACTAAATAAAGCGACGATCTATAAAGATTATTTATGATAAAGAAAATTGTAATTTACAAATAAAATAATATGTCTGGGATTTGCCTCCAAATAATTAGGGGTAGGAGAAAGTAGATGAAAGTATAGATGAAAAAATACTGGCCATATGTGGATTTTTATTGAAGCTAGGTGATAGCCAAAGGAGCTCATTATACCATTCTCTTTACTTCTGAAAATATATTTGAAGTAGGCATCTAGGTGGTTCAGTCAGTTAAGCGTACAACTCTTGATTTCAGCTCAGGTCATGATCTTAAGGTCTTGGGATCAAGCCCTGAGTCAAGCTCCGTGCACAGCAGGGAGTCAGCCTGAGAATTCTCTCTCCCTCTCCCTCTGCCCCTCCCCACGCGTGCATGCTGCATGCGTACAGGCACTCTCTCTCTAATCTTAACTCTTAAGACATTACTATATGACACTACTTTTATATGGTCAAAATTAAAAAATCCAAGTAATTTGTGGAACCTGTCATCTTTGCTTCAAAGAAAGATCAGGTATCTTAAATCAATCAATACATACTAAAAGTAGGCGTCTCTCTGTGTTACCAGATACCCCCCTCACGTTCTTGTTCACATAAATGTGATACAAACAGGTTCATGTTCTCCCAAGCCTACTACCTACTATTAATCAGTTTCTAAGATGTGATTGAGATATGAAACAAACTTATAAATATGAAAAAGTTGGAGAAGCCAACAAAAAACATGAAGAACATAAAATAAGAAAAAAGAATTTCACTTGTACTCAAATATATAGGTTTGCAAATTTTTTTATTTTACCTTTAGAAAACAGATTAATATACATTTCTTTTCCCTTGAATAAGCATAAAGAATATCCTTGGTAAGTCTTTCATATGCACACATAATTAAATTAGAGATTTATATAATCATATTTCAATTCCAATCTTCACCTTTGGAAATAATCCATTGGGTTGGATGTCAAATAATGCTAAATAGCATCATTGGCATTTTTTTTTGAACTAACATTCAGGTTTAGAAGACCAATAAATTTAAAATTTTTTCTTCTGTGAGGTAAAGGTTTAAATGCTTTTTTAAAAAGCTGCTACCTATATTTTTAAAAATGGGGCAAAAAATTCTTTACCATAATATGGGAAAAAAAATTTCTACATACCTGCCAAGCCAGTAATTGGTCTGGTTCTAGTTCAGCAGCTTTCTTATAGGCACCCTGGGCCTGATCAGGTTGTTCTAACTCAGCTGCAGCAACACCAATAAAAACCCAGGCATTATAGTTATTTTTCTCTTGTTTTAACACTGTCTGATTAAAAAAAATTAAAAGAACAGGTCATTAAATTTTGGAAGCTAATAACAAACAACTAAAAGACTGTCAACTTGAGTGTCAGGAAATATGGATCTACCACTAACTGGGCGATCTTAAGAAAGCCACTCAACCTCTCTGGTCTTCGGTTTCCTCAAGGAGAGAAGGAGCTGAACTGGATCAGTAATTGTAAGGAGTCTAAAACATGATGCATGTTTTTTAAAAGCTGCCCAAGCAATGCTGATGCCTCCATCAAATGCCTCCCCACGCTCCTTGAAAATACTATGTACAAAAAGAAGATTAAGACTATTCATACCACCCAACCATCTTGCCTGCCTCCACTCCACACTGCCACCAGTCAACTCACAAAACTGTTTTCCATATCGTTTCACCCTATCCAACACCCACATTTTCCTTCACTATGATAACACTTCCCACCACCATACAGATTTTTCATCAAAATAACAGGGTAGGAAGGTAGACTGACCCCAATGTGACTATACCAAATATGTTCAAAAATAAATAGTGGCAATGGATGTTTAAATACCACCTATCAATGAGAATAAAAATTATATGTAGAGCTACTGCTTTCAGAAAGAACAGCTACTTGCTAAAGTAAAAAGTTTGAAACAGAAAACAAAGATGTTCTAGTGACAGAAAACAAAACTAGTAGCTAAAATGAAATTAGCTCTTAAGATTTTACATATTCTAGAGAAAATAAGAATACTTCCACGAGCTGAGACAGATTATTGTGTTTATATGCATCCCCATGACACTTCCAGCAATCTTTCACCATTCTATAGCACAAATTCCATTCTATCCAACAATAGTCTCCCAAAATATTAACAACAAGGTAACTACTAAAGCTGACAATTTTTTAACCTCTAATAGGTCCAATTAGTTGACGCCCCCCGTTATTCGACTATCGCTCCACTTCTCAAGTCTCATCCCTCCTTTCCCAGCTCAGACTCCATTGACCCATCACTGTCCTCTCTCCCAGGCAAACATCCTCAACTCCTCTGCCTCTCTTCCCCATCATCATTCTCAACATCCACACTTGAACCCCAGCATGCCCACTTCTAAGCTTGAGAAGCTGGGCATGAGGGAGAAACTACACAACTCAGTTCAGTGATTTCACTTCAATAACATGAAACTTCAAATGGACATTCATTAGGGCCTGGCAATCCCTTCAATCCAAACTAGTAAGTTAAATAACAACTACTACATACCTTCTTTCATCTCAAATATCCTACACAGCTCTTCTTCCACTCTCAGCTTATACTTTACTAGGAAAATATCAGAGGGGAACATTCCTCTCTTCCTACCCCCAAACCTAGAAATCTGATAGTATATGGATTTACACCTATCTTTCCCCCTGCTAAGATGGAAAAAGTATCAAAGACCCCTCTCTGGAGCTCAGGATCCCATCCTCTCTTACTCCTACACTACACTCTCTCTCCTGCACATTCAGTTTCTCCCTCCGGACAGGTTCATTCCCCTCAGTACCTTACAGAGGAGATTTAGAATCTTGAGTCCCCCATTCACAAACCAAATAGAATTACACTGTCAACATACTATTAAAGAATGAAAACTTATGATACAGTAGTGCTCCATAATACAAAACATCAAAAGATACCTAAGAGATATTCAGGTTTTGAGAGTGTGACTTTGAGTCACATATATAGTATATGTGTGTATATACAATGTAGTTTATCCTAGCCTGGGTGGCTCAGTCGCTAAGCGTCTGCCTTCGGCTCAGGTCATGATCCCAGGGTCCTGGGATCGAGTCCCACATTGGGCTCCCTGCTCAGCGGGAAGCCTGCTTCTCCCTCTCCCACTCCCCCTGCTTGTGTTCCTGCTCTCACTGTCTCTCTCTGTCAAATAAATAAATAAAATCTTAAAAAAAAAAACCACTCTAATCGTCTACTAAACAACTGAACCACTTTTGTTAAGTTTAGACAATAAATGATACACATATTACAAATCCATAATGCTTGTAAATAGGTAACATACTTTTACTGTGGAATAAAAAAATATATCAGTTACCTTACAATGTTTCAAAGCCTCTTTGTATTCTTTGTTTCTGATTGCATCTCTGGCACTTTTTAGAGCAGTCTTTACTTCCTTGCTGGACATTCTGTGGAAAATAAAAAGCCTGAGTGAACCTACAATAATACCAACAAACTTAACTATCTGAAAAACGCACATGTAATGCCTTTTATCGGGAACAATCTTTCCACTCTTAAGGTCCCTGTAGTGTATTCTCTCACCTCTTCAGATTTTTACTCAAATGTCACTTGCTCAGTGAAACCTTGGCTGGCCACGCTACTTAAAATTTCAACCCTTCCTCCCCTCACACCCAATCACACAATATCCCCTTAGCCCCTCCCTAACACTTACCATCTTATGCACTATATATTTTACTTATTTTATTATCTGTTCCCTAAACCCACTAGCATGTAAGTGCCATGTAGGCAGGGATTTCTGTCTGTGGTTGTTGTTGTGAACTGCTGTATGGCCAGTACCTAGTTCTAACAAATCGTATACATTAATAAATATTTGTTGAAAGTCAGCTGTATTTGAGTTATACTCATTCTTCATATAGTAGCTAAAACACAGATGATCTAATGGACCAGGACCCAAAACACTATCAATCTCAATCCAATTCTGCAGTAAGAAGTTTTAGTAGAATAAGCACAAATCACAAAGTAAAAACACTAACACAAATTAACTGCAGTAACTTTGACCTAAGAGCATTAGAAAGCATTCTGTTTTAATGCTGGTTTCTATAAAATATAAATCAGGATACTAACTTTCTTCACAGTAAGGGTCACTGTCGAGATATAGCAATATAGTCTTTGAAGAGAAATAAATGCAATTTTTACACTTAAATGAAGGTGGTGATTATGCTACAGGATTATGCACTAATTTCAACCATAAAAAGATACTTCAACTGGCAGACAAACTGTTTCTTCATTTAAATGTAAGCTATGTTAATTTAATTTTAAATAAACTAACATATCTTAAGGTTTTACAACTTATTTTGATTTACCAGTAAACAATTTATTCTGATTTACTAGTAAATAAGTCAAATTCAATCACAACTCAATGCTGAAAAAAAGAAACACCTGTATTTTTTGACAATTCTAATCTCATCAGGAAACAAAGCCGGGTAAACAGTAATCCATTATAGACCGCAGATGTTCATGCAAAATGAACCAAGAAGATGGCTTGTTGACATGGTGTACTGACATCCTTTATACCCAAAGAGGCTGAGGTACAAGTGCAGATCAAAGAAGCTTAAGAAAGCAGGGAAATAAAACAAAACAAAAAAAACAAGCCTTCTGACTCAAATGTTAGATTCAAAATAATATGAAAATTGACATATAAAATCAGTTTATTTGGAGCTACAATCAGATTCCTTAAATAGGCAGAAAAGTAACTTTTTGCTTAGTTACATTAATTATACAATTAAACCTGCATAGTTCATATGCTCTTATTTTAGCAATAGTTCTCTCACCTGAAATTATCTTGGTATAAATTTATAAGTGCAAACTTCAGGATTTTTTTTTTTTTTTTTTTTTGTAGCCTACAAACTTTGACTGGAACAGGCAACAAATTTCAGCGATGATTTCACGTTAAATTTTCTCACACCAAAGTTATCTTGGGTAAATAAATCTGCAGACTAAAAAGAAGAGAAATCAGTGATGATTAACAACTAATCTGGATCAATAGAAAGGGATAAAAAGAGACATCTAAGGGGAAAAAATTAAGTTAAAAAAGAACAAAAACAGTTCCAAGATAAGATCAAGCAAAAACAAACAGAAGAATTCAACTTTGCAAAGAGAAAGATCACCATCTCTTCTATCACCTAGCATTTGAGTGGAAGCACATTCAAACAAGGCAGAACCAGACACCACCAACCCTACATGCAACCCCCAAGCCATGCACTGCATAGGACATAAAAGAAATAGAAAAGAAGCCTCCTGCTCTAAAGAATATAATCTAAACCAAACCTAAGACATAGGAGTAATTAGAGAATCAAACGCTGAACTAAGGATAATGAGTACAACTGGAAGAGGAGTTTAAAGAAGGAAAGAAGTGTGGTGTGAAGTAATGAAGGGATACCAAAAGAAGACAGGATTTAAGAATGGAGGGAAGAAGGACAACTGTTCCAGTTAGAAGTAATTGCATTGGCTAAGTCAGAGAAATAGGAATGAACGTGGTATGTGGAGGACACAATGAGAAAAGTGGGCTCAGTGGAGCAGAAGGGACTTGCTGAAGAACAGAAGAAAATGAGGCTCACTGGATAAAGTACAACACTAGACTACAGGAAGACCTTAAAAGTCAGACACACAGACAAGTGTAGACTTAAATATAGCAGCAAAAACAGAGCTGTTAAATGCCTCTACATAAGGTATTTTTAAAGACCACATTAGACAAACTCCATTCTTCCCTTGGTAACCAACTAATGTTCAACACCCTTCCATATCCCTGTATGTCTCCATATGTAATGACAATTACCCTTACTGCAGGGGGATTTTCTATTCTTCTCTTCCTATTCCTTCTTCTTTTTTTTTTTATTAATTTTTAAATTTTATTTTATCATGTTATGTTAATCTTCCTATTCCTTCTTCATTTGATTTGGCATTTAGCATAACATGCTAGCACTGAGGCCCTCTCTCTTCGCCTAACATTTATACAGTGAGAAATATACAGATACAGATATAGACAATATAGACAGATAGACATAGATCAGTTTTAGGGGATTAACTAATTTTTGAAAAGACAAAATAATCTGCCCCTTTCTAGCCCTAAAAACTTCTTCCTATTTTTGGGAGATGGAGTAGAGAAGAGAGAGGCTCATTCATTCATTTTCTAAACACAGCTTTCCTAAGTACTAACCTATTAGGTATCATCAAACTCACTTCCTTTCATAGAGCAAAAACGAATGAAGAAAAATGAAACACCTCTATTTGGGACACTTCCTTCTACTGCAAGTATTTCCAACATTTCTAAGAAAAACCTAGCTCTTTTACAAGTGTCTTTAATATTCTTCCATAGCTCCACCCACTTTCCCTTGATAATCTCTCCTACTTTTTTTCTTCTCAATCTCAAATCATTCTAATTCAATAAGAGCATTCACTTCACAGATTTTCAACTCAGGGAAAGGGTTTCTACTACCAAGCTAAAAGGGTTTTTATTCAACATATCAAGCATAAATAGTAGCAACAACTGCACTTAAAAAAAGTTAGAAAGTGACACATTCCAAAATGACAAATCTCAAAAATAACAAATGTAGGTGGCTGAATTACTATGTCCTACACACCCCAGCTAAAGCTACAGAACCTTAAGCTACACTCCACTGTGCAGATACAAAGACTCCACAAAGCAAAAGTAACAACAATAATATATAATAACAATAATGACAATGGAAGTTAATTACAGAAAGCAAAATATGGTACATTTAAATCTAATAACAAAAGTCTAAAGGTGTTTTTTGATGACCTATAGTCTGGCAATAACAACCTACACCATCACACCTTTCTTCTGAAATGAACTGGTAAAAACAATGACTAAGTAAAAACAGACTCCGATCACATATTATTTAACATTCTAGTCACTTACCTTTTACCTATTATCTTCTATCTTCTTTTTGAATTGAATTTCAGATTGTTCCTTAACCATTATCCATCTAAATTAAGTAAAGTATGAGACAGGTAACATAAAAAGCATGATAAACAGCCCAAAACTCTGTGAATTTTTTAACATATCAGATTCATGTTTAATTTTCACAATTCATAATTTAAAACACAAGAAATAATTAGGTACAATTTTTCATCTTTTTTTCTTTCCCAAAATTTCTGAATTGGTCTGTGTTCGCAGAGCCTCAGGTGATAAAAGGAACTTCCATAAATAGTCAGAAAAATTCTCAAAAAACATTCCAGAAACTCAAAATACATGAACTTCAGTATAAAAAACTGAGCCAAAAAGGGTATCAACTATGTCTATGTACTTTGTTTTGAATCAAGGACAATCAACAGTACTTACTTACTCCCTATTTGCAGCCTAACTATACTAAAGTGAACCTGTTTTAAGCCATAAAAAGAATTATAAATATGTAAAATGTTGCCCACATCATGTAACTAGATTAATTTAAAATCTAATGAAAATAGAGAAAACTTTCTTTAAATGTCAAAAACCCAGCTAAATAACCATCTGAAATATTAACACAAATTCTCCATGATATAATCCTAATTATCTTTTGATGGGATCTCTGGAATAAATTCTGTCAAACAAAATTAATCTAGAATGCTTCATGGAAAGAATGGAAGTGATTTCAAAAAACTGAATAAAAAAACAGCAGTGCTACCTTAAACTAGGAAATGGACAAAATTTAGGTGAAGCAGGTGGGGATGAACAAAAAAGAAAGTAAGCCTACTGGACTGAAACATGTACTGGCAGGATACTTAAAATAGAATGGTTAGTTCCATAGAAAAGGGTCTTACTGTTAAGAAAATAAGTATTGTGGCCTCCTGTCCTCTTTCCACCATCTTTCCATGCGGCCCTAATGGTGCACATGAATGTCCTGGCAGGTGTTCTCAAGAGCATTAACAATGCCGAAAAGAGAGCCAAACACCAGGTTCTAACTAGGCCATGCTCCAAAGTCATCATCCAGTTTCTAACTGTAATGATGAAGCATGGTTACATTGGCAAATCTGAAATCACTGATGATCACAGAGCTGGAAAAATTGTTGTGAACCTCACGGGCAGGTTAAACAAGCGTGGAGTGATCAGCCCTAGATTTGATGTACAACTCAAAGATCTGGAAAAATGGCAGAATAATCTGCTCCCATCCTGCCAGATCAGTTTCACTGTGCTGACAACCTCGGTTGGCATCATGGACCACGAAGGAGCAAGATGAAAATACACAGGAGGGAAAATCCTGGGCTTCTTTTTCTAGGGATGTAATACATACGTGCAAATAAAATGCCTCAATGGGAAAAAAAAGTACTGTGATCCAAACAATGTTTAAGAAAGTAAAATAAAAGTTAAAACAAGAAGGATAACGAGGGAAGGTAAAATAAAAGTAAAAACCTGACTCTATACATTACGTTAATTTTTTTAAGCCCCAAACCAAACCAACCTGATTGTAATTACTTAGTCACTTCAACTCTGTTCTTACAAAACACCCCAGGTTTTGTCAGGCCCTTCATTCTGCCATACCCACCCACCAAGCTAAAACTTAATCTTGTTCAGAATATGCTTAGGATGCAGATACATCTGGGTTCAAGTGCAATCTGAACTTGGACACCTTACTTTACCACTCCAAGCCTATTTCCTCATTGATAAAGTGAGGATTACATCACTTACTTGATATTTGCATAAATGGAGTGCCTGAACAAACATAAGACACAGTTGACCCTCAAACAACATGGGTTTGGAGTCCACTTATACATGGGTTTTTTTCAATAAAGTATCTTCTGTACTATAAATGTATTTTCCCTTCCTTAGGATTTTTTCTTTCTTTTTCTTTCTTTCTTTTTTTAAGATTTTATTTATTTACTTGTCAGAGACAGGCAGTGCACGGGAGGACAAGCAGGGGGAGCTGCAGCAGAGGGATAAGAAGGCTCCCTGCCGAGCAAGGAGCCCAGTGTGGATGTGGGACTCGATCCCAGGACCCTGGGATCATGACCTGAGCCAAAGGCAGATGCTTAACCGACTGAGCCACCCAGGCAATCCTCCTTAGGATTTTCTTAATAACGTTTTCTTTTCTCTAGCTTACTTTATTGTAAGAATACAGTATATAATACATATAACATAGAAAATAATGTGTTAACTTTATATTATCTGTAAGGCTTCTGGTCAACAGTGGGCTATTAGTAGTTAAGTTTTTGAGGAGTAAAAGTTACATGTGGATTTTTGGCTGTGTCGGCACCCCTAACTTCCACATTGTTCAAGGGTCAACTGTATATTAGTTCCATTCTCCTTATCTACTGCCATCCTCTCAATCAACTTCACTACTTTTTTTTCTATTCCTAATTCACATGGTTACTACAAACTTTCTCTACATATTTAAAATCCTCAATCCCTCATTCCTTGATGTCTCAAGTAGTAATCTTCTTGCCAATGTTCTTCAAAAGATGGCTATCATCAAACACAAGTATCCTCTTTAAATTATGTGAATACTAGTCCAGAGTAAATCCCGCAAAAGAGACCAATCCATCCTCTGAACCACTGAAACATTTATTAGTTGAGCTATTCATTCAAACTTAATCGACATTTTTTACCATTGCTATATTGATATGCCCTGTTTCCCAGGTCAATAAAACCCTAAACAAAAGTATTCTATCTTTGGAGTTCCTTACATATTCAACACCTATTGAGTAATATGTACTCAATAAATGGCTGATTGTTCAGCTCCCAAAGTCTACTCTAAACATTTAGTTTCCCCACTGCCAAAAGGAATTTTCAGTTTGCTAAAATGAGAAAGGAAGAATCTCTTTGTGAGTATCAGCTCACATAACTTTTTGCACCATCTCCTAATACTTTCCACTTTACATCTTTGCTTCTCTCATTCAGCCAGTTGACACTGCTTCTATCTACTCAAACGGTACATGTAAATTGAAGGCCAAATTCAAGCATCAAGTATAAAGCCTTCTCAGATGAATCTCACTAGTGTGAACTTCTAACACTTTTAATCTAAACCAACATTTCCAAAAAGTATTCCAAGGAATAGGAACATGCTTAAAAGTATTAACACACGGTCTAGTAATTTTGTGAATGCTATACATTATATATCTCACTCTCTTTTAAAGTCATTCTAAATATATATTAGCACACTAAAGGCTCTGAAAAGTCCTAAAGACCCAAAGACAGTTTAACCTAACATTTCTAAAACTTATGTTACTATAGAACATTTATTTTAATGAACAGCAATTAACATTTTGAAGCACATTAGCATTCTCCAAAGTATAATTTGGGATATTCTGGGTTTTGTTTTTGTATGTTTGGAAATTAACTATATTTTTGATGTCTCTTATACTGTTATTAAATTTACAGGGGTGTGAGTGTGTTTGTTTCCCACAACTAAACTGGAAGTTCCTTAGGAGCAAAGACTACTTCTATTATTCTCTCTTATTTCCTACAGCGTCTAGTACATTGTAGATAATCAACAAATATTCACAGAATCACAGATGGTAAAGACAATACTGAATTTATTCCACGTAGTCACTAACTTCACACTTAACCTCCTTTTCCTAAGGCAGAATTTAGTGCTGTGGGTATACTGGACGTTAAAAGAACTATAAAGAATCAAAATCTATACCAAGACCTTTTGCATTGGTGGTATAGTGGTGAGCATAGCTGCCTTCCAAAATCCATACCAAGACCTTTCAATTGAAAATCTTTCTAAACTGCAGTTAAGTATTTCACAAAAGCAAGCAATCTCTAACATACAAATCTTTAACTGATGATTTAAACATACATGTAATAGATCACCTACCCTCAATACAACACATACACAGGCATGAACACCCCTCAAAAGTACCTTTTCAGATAGTAACTGATTAGCAAAAATGCTTTATGTCCAGAAAAGAGTGACCAAAATAATGAAGAAACTTGCAATTATATAACTAGCTGAAGGAAATTGGGAAGGTCTTGACAAAAAAAAAAAAAATTGGTGGAGAAAGAGGCAAAAAGGGTTGCTGAAAAGGATTACTTGCATAAAAATGAAGAGAAATGGACCAAAGAACGATTAAAAGTAGAGGAAGACTGACTTCAGCTCAAAATAAGAACTGTTAATAATCAGACATGGCAAATGTGGAATGGGCTACTAATACTAGTACATTCCCATCACTAGAGATAAAAAAGCACAGACTGGACAATTCACTTGGCAGGAATGTTGGGACAAATTGAATGTCAGATGGGTAGTAGGACTAGAAGCCCCTTAGATTCTTCCAGTGCTAGGTCTCTGGGGCCCTAAAATATCCATCTTGCTCCAACTCACTGCAGCACCTGCTCCCACTGACACTGTCAAGGTTAAAGAGAGGAAAAAAAGATGTGTTCCTGTCATTCTGACTGGGAACTCAGAATACACGCCCTGTGAAAACAAAGCCAGAGTAAACACAGTTCACAGAAATAGTACCACATCACAGATAAAGTTGGACATATTTTTTACAAATCTAAAAGTCAGGCAACAATGTTTCTATGGTGAAATGCTTTCCACACTCCAAATTAACTCAAATTTTTGAAACATAACCTGATTATGATGCAGCTTACCTATATTATCTCCCATGCTATAAGGCTGCAGTTTCACATATGTTAGCTTTGTTTTCCTAGAGTTTAAGTTCCTTGCAGACAGGAACTATTGTTCATATATTTGAATGCTCACAAAGAGCTTTAGCATGCTTCTTGATTAAGAATTTGTCTACACTAATAGAGTTTAAGCTCATGAATGTCATGAAATGTTATGATTAACTAGGGACAGAGGACTGTAGTGAGGGCAGACTACTAAAGTTCAAATCCTGCTCAGACTGGCTCCCTGTGTAACCTTGGGTAAATCATTTAACCTGTCCAAGTCTCAGTTTTCCTATCTGCAAAATGGTCAAACTAAGGATTACAGAAAATACTAAAATTGAGTTGATTTTATGTTAGGTACTGCAACTCCTCCTTTTTCTGTCAAAATATTCATACGACAAACGTGATGAACAAGTTATATATCTGAGATTATGATAATGAAATGAGAATTTGGCTCTGGGGCAGAAATCGGCTTCTTCCAGAATTCTCCAAAGTAGTTCAACAGTCAAGTGAGACCAGTGATTTTTCTGCAGCAAAACAATGATATTGTGAACCTGTCAATTAATCGAACTCCTCACACAGCTCAGTTATTTCTTCCCTTAAGAGGCTGTTCGATTTCTCTCCTTTGCACTCTGAAGGCAGGCTGCACCTAAGCTCTTCCCCATCTAGAACATGAAACTGACTGACTAGGCCCCGTTCCTCACGCCACCGGAGCATGATAAATCCTTACTGCACTGGCAGTAAGATGAGGCAGACTAGAAATTTCTTTGGGGGAATGTATTCGAGGAGGCCCACGAATCTACATCGCACCTGAGACGGTCCAGAGGCCCCACAAAGAACCGCCCCATCTAACTTAAGTGACAGACGCGCTGCCACCTCATCATTGCCCAGTTCATGGTCCTAACACTCGCCCATGCTTGCGCGGTACAAAATAACCAGCCCTGGCCCCTGACCCTTTCTCTCTGTAGATGCCATTTCAATCGCGTATTGGCTCCAACTTCTGCAAAAGCGACAGCGACCCTAACCCACCTGGGACAGATGCTTCTCCTCCAAACGCCAAGGCTAGAGGCCGAGCGCATGCGCAATCACCAGGCATCGTTCACGTGACTGAAAGTGACCGCGGTTTTAGTTCGCTCGGTATTTGCTTAAAAGGTCTAAAGGGGAGTTCTCCATTTGCGCATGTGCCTACGCCTAGCCTGCTGGGAATTGTAGTTCTGTGGGTAAAGAGCTAGGAGAAACCCGAACTGCGTGATCCCCGCCCTCTTGCCAGAGGCGTTCCTAGAGGGAGGCGGAGGGCCGAGTGCCCCGCGTTTCTGAATCGCTCCCTGCAATGCTGCTGCTCTGGGTGTCGGTTGTCGCAGTCCCGGCGCTGGCAGCACCAGACCCCGGGGCAGGTGGACAGAGGCGAGGAGCTGCTCGGGTTTGGCCCGTTGCACCCAATGTGGTGCTAGTCGTGAGCGACTCCTTCGTAAGTACCGAGAGGCAAGAGAGTGGGCGTCCCGCTGCAGACTAGCGACCCGCTCACAGCTTTTCCTGTGCTGCAGGCTTTTGGGAGCAGAATCTGAGAGATTTTCAAACATATTCTACCCCGATGCAGAGTAAGAAATGCATTTTATTTTGAGGCCCCATATACACCCCGTACACCACGTACATATAAAACAATCGAGTAAATAAAATGTATCTGATAGCACCTTTGCATTTTTTTTTTAATGCTGGCCTCGACCCACTAATTTTATCACTACTAACGCACTTTCCGTACCCCCGTTTGAGTTATTGTGGGGAAAAATAACATTCTGCATCTGCATAAAAGCGTGTTAAGCTTCCCAGTGGTTATTTCCCACTTCAAGTTTACAGGAATTCATGTTTGGGTGAGAAGTGAATAAAGTTAACATTTTTATTACCCACGTATCTGATAATCCTGTTAGTGCTGATTTAGGTGCGTTAGTTGATGTAATTTGATCCACTCCCCCATGTTCCAAGGAAATTATGTGGGTGTGTTGTTGTTTAATCCCAAACTTGAACAGTCTTTGGAACTTTCCCAAGCCTCATCGAAAAGAAGACTAGTATCAACATTACCTGAAACTTTTAGTATTATCCGTGATTTAAAAAACTAGTGCTTAGACAAATGTTCGGTTATGAGTTACAATACTAGCTTTATCACTGGGTGTTACTGTGGTCACATAGATTGTTGGTGTTAAGCACGTTTGCATCAAAAGAGTGCTTTTAATCACTATGTTCTATTGCCTTTCTCATTGATTAACCTATGATGATTAAAGTTACATAATCTGGATATGCTCATAGGACTTGTTGAGAAAATTATTCAAAGTAATCTTTATGATTCTCTAAATTTAGGGAACAAGCAGTATTGGAGATTAACATGAAAGAGGTTTCTTAGGGAGTGCTCCTGAGATCAAAGGGAAAGGAAAAAAGGAGGATTATGCAAAGAGAGAGAAGTTGAGCTTTGTTCCTTTCTCAGTAGAAGCCCCAGCTGACTTTATGGGTAATTCTTAAATTAGTATGATGTTTCAGAACTGTTTCCATTTGGGGTGAGGGGGCTAGGCCTTTATACCCTCATGTTGGATGGCCATTAGTTGTGTGCTGCTCCCAGAAAGGGGCATGATTTTGGGCAAGGCAACTCTCATTGGCAGAGGCATTCTTTCATTCCTAAATGGAACTTGGGTGGTGCATGAAAGCATCCTAGAAACTTCCAAAGATGACTGAAATATTTTAGTTTTTTTTTCAGTAAAGTATGAAATAGGTTTTTATATATTTGTGTTTAAATTCTTTGCATTCATTATACTTACTGATGTTCAAAATGTCCCATCTTTGATTAGTGAAAGACCCTTCAGGTTGTTCCTGAGTCCTTTTGACCCATGCGTAATAATCTTCAGCAGTTTAACTTCCATGTCCAATTTGTATATTTACTGTCCTATCTTGTGTTTAGACTATAATCTAGGTGTTTCAGTTTTTCATTGCGTTTAGACCTTTCCAATGGACAGATCTAGAAAGTACATATATGAGAAAAAGAAAAAATGAGATCGTGTTGATAATTTCAGCTCAAATTTAAATTATAAGGTTATTAATTCTTTGATTTTTTATCTCTTTTATACCAAATATTTTGGTTCCTAACTACATTAACATGATTGGTTGCTTTATCTAAATATATATAACATATATATATTTATATATATTATATTTTATACATATTAGGATAAATATATAGTGTGTATATATATATATATATACATATATATATATAAATTTAGAGCCCCAATCGCCCTTGCCCTAGCTCACTAGTGGGAGAAAGGTTCAATGCCAGGAAAGACAAATCAAAAGACCAGACAAGCTTCTGCAAAGCAAGCAGAAAGTAGGAAATAATAAGACTTAGAGCAGAAACTAACACCAATGCCAATGTGCATTTTCTGGCCTTATTTTAGGTAGCCTCTCAAACACAGCTGACATTACCTTTCTTGACACACTGTTTTCTCTCAGCATTCATGGAGCTCCATCTCATATCATCTTCCTCCCTTGCTAGCCATTCTTTCTTAGTTTCCCTTGACACCTTCTCCTCTTATTTGGGACTCCTTGAATTCCTTTCCTTCCTCCCTTTTCATTCTCTGCCTGAAAGGTTTCTTTCAATATCATAGTTTTCAATACCATGAATATGCTAAAGACCCCCATGTTTATTTCACCAGGGTAGACTTTCCAAGCTCCAGATTCCTTTCTGTAATCAACAGCCTACTTTATATATCCATTTGGAAACCTCGGACATATCAAAGGTTTATGTATATCCCACATTTGGATTAACTCATTTTTAAGACTGTATTTTTGTTTATAATTATATTGAAAATATAGAATAGATATAACTCCAGGCCTAAAATACTCTTTTTTCTGTCTTTGCTCTTTACCAAGAAGAGTTCTTCAGTTCCAAAATGCATATTTCCAGCCCAAACACCTCTTCTAATCTTCAGGCTCATTTATCCAGCAGCCACTGACATCTTCAGTTATTTCCAGTCTAAAGAACTGCTGGACCTTTCTTACCCTTTAGGTCTCATACTTCTCAAAGAAGCTTTCCCTGTTCACTCTATGTAAAGTACGTCTCCCTTGCTATTCTGTATCTCAGGGTTTTTTTCAAAGCACATATCACAATGTGTAATTATTAATGCTTTATTTTCCAGTATACTTTTGTCTGTCCCACTAAACTATAAGCTTCAAGGGGCCAGGGACTCTGTTTTTCTCACCACTGAATTTCCGGATCTTTCACAGTACCTGGCACATAGTAAATGCTTAATAAATATTCCATCAGTTCATCATGCCCCAAAAGAACTTTCCAGAAAGTCCTTTAGTTTATTTACTGTATTCAGATGAATCCAAGTACAACACTAAATTCTTAATATTATGAGGCAGATATAGGTAACACTCTCTATACTTGTTTTATCTTTTGAGGATCCTTAGGATCATACTGAAGTCTTTTGCTACTTGTAAATTTTATGGTTAAAATTAAAGGAAATAATTTTCTTCTTTTCTAATGCAATCAGTGTTAATTAAATTTCTTTATTCCAGGATGGAAGGCTAACATTTTATCCAGGAAGTCAGGTAGTGAAACTTCCTTTTATCAACTTCATGAAAGCACATGGCACTTCCTTTCTGAATGCCTACACAAACTCTCCGATCTGTTGCCCATCACGCGCAGGTAAGAACATGCTTAATATTAATGGAAGTGGCCACATACACAAAAATGTTCTCACAGTTTAGAAGATTATACCCAAAAGTACGATAGTAAGTTATATTTGTCATCTAATAAAAAATTTTAATATAAGTGATGCGTATTTTAAGGTATATATTGGGGTTATTGGAATTTCTACTTTATTTTTCAAGAGTAGGGATTTTTATCATCCAAAGTAGTATTTAGTTCATGTGTTACTGTTTCATTTCCTTATGATTGGTAACTAAGAATCTTTTGCCTATCCAAGCAAATGAGGAAATACTCATATTTCCTAGAAGAGTTGTATCCTCAAGAAAATTTTCAGTAAGCGTAGTAGGGACTGGGAGGGGACTTCAGAGCCTACCACAAAGTAGTTAGAATTTTCATACGTCAGGTTACTCTGAATTTTTCCATATTATTTCAGATTACAGACTTTATCTGTTTCTCTTCAGTCTCAATTCACTTCTATCCCAAATCTAGTTGTGCACTTTTATTAGAGTAATTTAACAGGCATAGTTTTAATGGCAAAATGTCAACAGTATTAATCCATGAATAATTGAGAAGTAGGGAGAAATGCCATTTTTTAAATAAACTGTTCTCTGACAGAGTTGTTTTCCTTTCTGCCTTTCTACCATTTGTTTGCCTTGGGATACATAAAAAGCACCTCTGTTAGGACATATGTGACATGATCTGTGTGATTTGAGTCCCAAATCCCTGCACCACCTGTGCAATCACCTATGTAATTGCCAGTGAGTAAAGAAAACCCACTATGCTAAATGACATTTCAGCGATGAAGACCCAGGGATAATAAAACAGTTGTGTTAGTTTTTTATTCCCTATTGAGCAAGTGGAATGAGCAGTGGACTAGGGTGAGGTGTTGTCCTCGACTCTAATCCTCAATGGGCCAAGCAAGTCGCTCACTTTCCTTACTTACAGGGTTAGATATCTATTCCCTATCTATCTCACAGGGTTGTTCCCAACATCAAATGAAATAATGAATAAAAAGATGATTAATAAATTCTAAATGTTTCAAAAATGTTAGTGATGGTTTTCCTAGGAGAACTGTATTTTTAAGAGTTTGAACTCTTGAAGGAATAATAGTAATACAAACTGATGTTTGTTCCATTCTTACCCTGTGCCTGGCAATATTCTAAGTGCCTTACATGTCTTAATTTATATAATAATAACATGTCCATAAAGTAGATATTGTTACTACCCCCATTTTGCATATAAAAACAAAAGTACTAAAAGGTTAAGTAACTTATCAAAGGCCACTCAGTAATTGGCATTATTGGGATTCAAACCCAGGCCTCAAAACAAAGGAGCCAAGAATATATAATGGCTCATCCCATTCCTCAAAAAG